GGGTTGAAACAGAACACTATAGAAGACATTCCAATATATTGAGAAAAGATGGCCGTGGCATGACCATGGGAGCTTTATACTGGCAGTTAAATGACATCTGGCAAGCACCAACATGGGCTTCCATAGGTAATGTTATATTTTCCATTTAACCCGAGAGATTCATTTTATAACAAAATTTCGAGACATACCGTTTAATTCCGTATTCTGCCCGTTGACCATTTTCTTTAGTCTTTGATCGTAGAATGACTATGGGGGAAATACGCAGGCTTAATTCTCTTTTGAAAAATATTGCATTCTGCCCGCCGATCATACTCTCTGTTTTTAGTTGTGTATAAGACATATTCCTTTATAGAATAATTAAATGCTAGTAAAAGATACACAGCCATAATAAATTCTATTTTTTAGCTAAAAATAGGCCTACATTATATTGCCGATTTTGCCCTGTATTCCCTTTTAAACCTATTGCTCCAACTTACCTATTTATTTTATTCAGATTATGACTTGAAATGGAAGATGATACATTACTATGCCAGACATTTCTTTGATCCAAATTTGATTTCACCATACATCAATGGTACCGATCTAAATATATACATGGTAATAGACGAAATTCCAAATCATTTATACAGACACCCTGATACTCATACTCTAGAATTTAGATCATTACAAGAGCGACAGATAGTGAGTGAAATTTATCCTAGAAATGTAGATTTCGAAATCAAGAAAATGGCGGCGGCTATGAACAACACAGTAATTATGGAGATGTATACTTGGAATAACTTTACACCTTTAAAAACATGGACTATTCCCTATAAGGTATGTATACATGTACTGTCAAAGTTTCGCTCATTTTATAACTTAAAAATATGAACTATTCCCTGTATGGTAATATCAACATTCACTCATTTTAAACACCATATTGCAACTAATACGTCGTACACACACTCGTTTTATTTTATGTTTTTATTTTTCAGTTAGACAAAACTTCTGGCCTAATTTTTCAACGTAATTTAGATAGTATTTTATCTGAAGCCGGTTGTCCAGATAAAAACAGTTGCTTTCTTTACTTTTATCTGAACTCTAAATCTAATCCTCTCAGTACAAGTTGGATGCCTTTAAGTTACTTCAATTATGATATGAAGAATACGATCAACAAAGCACAAATACAAGTAAGTTTCATTCTGCATGCCGAACGTTTTTATTCATAATTTTAGCAATACCATGGAAAGATCCAGCTGACATTCCAGGTTAAATGTCCGGATTATCTTAATTTATACTTGGACACCCGGGCGTAAGGTTAACCCAGAAACTAGGAGAGGTTCTTTGCTTGATGACAAGCTCATTCGATGACAGCAATGTAGCACAAGATTAGGTCCTTAGTATAACGTCATTCACTTTTTCTACTGAAACACCAGATCTTATATAAATTTGTTCCCTCTTTATTTGAATTTTCGTGTACTGTAATTCATTATCACTACATGTACATTGTATTTATACCACAAATACAAACCTTTCTATTTTAGGTAACCAATGTTACATATCAGTCTTCTACTGAATTCACTGTTGTTTTGTCTACTAATAATATAGCACCATTTGTATGGATCAACGCCCAGGGAATATATGGCAGATTTTCTGATAATGGTTTTATTATGAAAGATCCTGTAGTTGAACTCAAGTTTACAACTTGGCATGATATGGACATTTTTGATTTCAAGAAATCTCTGAGCGTCAAATCTTTAATGGACATTTACTATTAGAGTAAAATAAATAAGACAATACTGTATATTTTTTTCCTTTGACTCCCATAGCCTGAGATATGATATGATTAAGTAACGGTGAGCGAACAACGATGGCATATTTATACGCTAAATTAGAAAGATAAAATAACATAAAAAAAAATACAAACTTAGTCTCTGAAAGCTATTTAAGTGATTGTTAATTCCTTGCAACACAAGCCAGCCCAATCTATGAGTTTCACCGAGTCTTTTGTTGTACCTCTTTAACCCAAATGAATCCAAACCGGGAGATTATCTACCATTGAAATTTGGATTTGGTTTCCTTAATTAAATTTTAAATAATCAATCAAAGTGCATTCCATAGGATGGATTAAGTCTTGATAATTTCATATTTTCCCTGAAAAAATTCAATTTTTAATTTAATTGAGAAATAATTTTATAAGAAAATATGTATATTATAGTATATGTAATTATACGTCATATCCAAAAAGACCTGGGTCAAAACAGATTGGTGTTTCATTTTTTTCTTTGTGTTGTTAATGTTTTACACTACAGTCTAACGACACCTTTTACAAGTTTATATTCCGTGGGCCTCAACTGGTCTCACATTTAGCCACTAATGGGAAACTTTTCCTGTAGAAAAAAATTAATAGCCTTAAGGGAATGGATAAATGAATCGGGAATTATCGTCCTACCTTTCTGCTCCAACCGGGATAATGAAGACGGGTTATAGAAGAGATGGTGTTAAATTTACATGTGGGTTAGACGAGGGAAATAGTCAAATCTAAAAGAAATACTTTGTCAGTTATGTCATTCTGCCTTGTTTTTGTGTGTTTGTTGCTGTTTCTCCCGATTTTTTTGTTCTACCCGAATGACTAGACACCATCCATCGCTAATAAAAAGAAAATAATTATATAAACAGTTGTCTACTGTGTGCATGTATATTGTTACGATTTCAGTGCTAGAATTTGTTATATCACGTGTGATAGTGTGATATCCTACCCAAATAAAGATATAGTTATTCTGATAATGAATATTTGTCCAGTTTGAGATAAGTGGGCGTCTAGATAGTCGAGTATTCTACATTATAAAGTTATGCATTGCTTTTGGTGAAATGATATACGACATGTCGGCAATTGTTTTGGTATTTATTGTTGGCTATTTTACAGTAAATGCATTAGAAACAACAAATTTAAATGGGGAATGGCAAATAATTAACAGTAACAAAAGTAAGTTGTGCATCAAAATTAATATCGATTCAAAAGTATAAAACATGGTAATTACACTGACAATACACAGACAAGATAAAGGTAATTAAAGATTTCCAAATTTTGGCCGTTTCAAACACTATCTGAAATGAATTACTGTAAACTTTACATTAATTTCACCAGCCACGTTTGAAATTAATAGAGTTTTGCTAATCGAGGTTAATTTAGTTAGATCATACCTTAAGGCATAAAGTTCCTGTGAATTACTATTGCTAGGTCGATTTCCAGACCTCGGCACATTATTCTTCTCATAGTCCTGACGGGATGCTAGAATGGGGAGGGCACTAGTTTAAAATGAAATCTACACAGGATCACTCAGATAGATATTTTGATGAATACCTGTTGTTTGCAGCTAACACCCCTGGCATGTATCCATATCTGCGGTCATTATTTATAGTAATACGAAACTGACATTTGCCTTGAAAGATTGGTCTAAACTGGTTACATGTTCCTCCAGTTTTGTCGACCATGACGCCCATATACATGTATAGGTGGACTTACTTTAGTCTACTTCCATTGTTGTTCATCACTCCGGCATGGTATTTGATGCGTTAATTTCTAGACCGGTGGTAACATCTTGTGTAACCTTGTTAACAAGGTGGTAAAAGATCTTACCAGCTTTCATAGTGGTAACCTAACGACTGTTCGCCGATTATTCTTCCTACTTGGTCTGATCTTGTTTTACACTTCACAATCAAAATTTCTCATCTGAGTCTAAGCCATGACTTGCATCCACAACAGGTTCGATCCTCGCATGACTAGACTGGTTACTTGGTATAATAATAAAACACGAATCCATCTCCAATTTTCACTGTCTTTGAGGTCAGAAAGTTCCTCTGGTTTGGTTTGGATTTTACATCCTTATCACGTACGGTCTGGTTACAGGACAGATATCTGGAAGCCATTTTCCCAGCACCTCCTTTTTCAGATTTTCATTTCAGCATAATTTATGTAACACAATAAATGTTGTCGGGTCTGTTGGGATTCCTTGCCTACATATTGCCATGAGGTGAAACTTGGTATAGTAATGTCAACTACTTAAGACAGTTGACTTCACCTGTTTGTGGGTTCTGTCTGGATATAGATTTAAGCTAACTAGGTAGGCCTACCTGAACGCCATAGTCTAGTAAACCAAATTTGGTCAAAAATTTAGCAAAGACCATCGGCTCCGTCTTCCTCAGTTCCCATATTAGAGATCGAGATGGACAATCATTAAGACTATCATGTAGATCCGTAAAAGATAGCGTTGACATTTTAATTGCCAGCCTGAACAATCGCGTGGAACGTAGACTCTAGATTGCATTTACAACTTATATATGTAATCTCATAGCTGTATTTGTAGTTTCCTGGGCCCGATTCCTAGAAAATTCTTAAGCACGTTCTTGTGCTTAGATTTAAGTAGACTTTGCATTTAAGTAAACTTACCTTATTTTGTGTTCCCAGAAAATTCTTAAGAACGTTCTTGTGCTTAGATTTTAAGTAGACTTCATTGTAAGCACAAGAACGTTATTATGCGTTCCAAGAAAAACCTTAAGCACAACTTCGTTCTTAAACATAGTCAATCTAAGCACAAGTCCCAAGCAAGGTATACGGCTTGCTTACCAACCTTAAGTCTGTTTCTGCTTCAAAAAGATGGCTGACCGTTGAGTTATTCGACGGCATTTCCGACACCTTTTGATACCAAAGAGACAATTACAAGACAGAGAAAATCCTTCTCCAGAAGGAATTTCAAATTAAGAATGCTATAGAAAATTTCGCTTCTAGGCTTACCCTGAAACCATTTTATTTATTTGCCAATTAGTAAACAATAGGCTACAAACACACAGGCTACTTTAAGATCAGGCGCTCTCACAATTATTCAGTTAGTTTGTATGTGTTTGTATATGACGTCAATGAAGCAGACGACAAATTTAAGACGTAATTCGCATACCAAAGTTGTTTTTATGACGTTAAAGAGCACCGTAGTCTCGGTTTATGGTAAACTTTACCAGTCACAATGTGCTTAGACTTATACTTGACTTGTGCTTTCGTAAGAATGGTCTTGAGAATTTTCTAGGGACGGTATTTTTATAAGTTTCTTACGTAAGAAAAAGTGAAGCATGACTTTGTGCTTACTTTAAGAATTTTCTAGGAACCGGACCTGTATTACCGTTATATAAACAAGAGTTGTAGAGAAGTCAAGAGTGAAAACATAGGATTGTGACCCACAGCATTGACACACGATGGTGTCACATCCCTTTATTTGGTTTCGTGTTGAAGGATAGTCACAACGTAATACCGGGGTGTCACATTTGACTATGGTGTCACAATTATAATAGGGACTGGCTGGTTTCGACCATGTCATATATATATCTTCTGCAGTTAATGTCGAAAATGGACATAATTCTAATTTTGTAAATGCTTTACGGAATAAAGTCATTTAAGAGCAGACACCCTTTTTAGTTTGCAAGGGATTGAAAATCCCTAAGGTGCATCACCCTCAGCTTGATTTGGTCATGTAAAATATGATAACGTCTCTTTCTAGTAGTAGCAAATGGAACAGATTTGCTTTCATGTGAACAACAGGGTATCTTTGTCAAATTTTCTTTATCTTATCGAAGAAAATCTGTACGTGTAAATTTAACTTTATGTATTTATAGGTCAATGACAATTTTATTTAAATCAAGGTCAGCTATTGTAATCAAATCTTTACAGGATATGGTATGATTGTAATCTACACACACCATAGGTTCATTTACAGAAGGGTATATTGGTTTATCAGGACGTATGTTTATATTAAAGGAAGGGTTTCTGTTTTACTAAACCTGTCATATATAAAAACGAAAAGTCACATTGGTTCTATCTGATGAGTTATTTTGATGGATGAAAGGGTAATTGTGAAGTCAGTGGAAATCTAATACACTTTTTATATTTACGAATATCCATCAACACGTTCCACCCCTATGGATGCACTCGGGTTTGAATTTACAAATAAATTACAAAAACAGACTTTAGCTAAGCTATATGAAATACATTATTAAGTAAACACGGAATTCTGGTACAATTTATATTTTCTAATAAGGTTCAAAAACCAGTTGTACTCAAAATGACACTATATTTGATATTGCTAACTGTAGGCTTTCAATGGACAGGAGGTGTGGAATCAGAAGGTCACACGGTGCCTCGCAAACCTTGTCTATAACTATAGCCAATAAGTAGACCTACTTGCTTTTCAAGTAGTTGAGAATACAGATGTTAAAATGTGAGATATTTTTAATCTACACTTATAGGTTATAACCTTATTGGAACTGTACCTGGAGGTGTTTATACAGCTTTATATAGTAATAATATCATACAAGATCCATATTATAGAGATAATGATGGTAAATATAGATGGATTGGGCTTGATGATTGGACATACACCAGATCGTTTCAATGTGAGTAATGAACACAAAGACAACTATTGACAAAACAATTCAAGAATTTAATACCTATTGCTGCACGTGAAGAGAAAATTAATCAGGTGAAAACTAACATCATCCCTTTATTATAAAATTTACATCAACATTTAATGTTAGTCTTCAATGAAATACGGAACAAAATCATTTAATTAGAACTATCATAAATATCATTGCTTTGTTTCAGTAAACGCTGAGTCCATACAAAAGAACAATATAATATTAGTAGCAGAAGGTCTCGATACGTTTTCTACCCTCAGTATCAATGGAAAACAAATTGGTACATCCGAAAACATGTATGTTAGATATACATATGATATCAAAAACGTTGTCAAGGTAAATGCATGCCCTATTTCCATACGTTCCTTTTAAAAGCGTCCTTGTACTCGTTACTGTGTCATGATTTGTGTTAGGTTTAGCATATACTGTGCTTACCATTTTATTGATTAGCGGCTAACGTTTAGCATTTGTGCTGTCCTGCTGCCTTATGGCAGCGTACTTAAAAACTTCACAGGTTTACAAGATGTAATACTAATACACATTTTTTATAATAAACGTAGCGTTGGAATTTCATTCGGTAAGCTAGTTACGGATGCCATTTAACTACAATGCTTTAAATATATTTTAGCCTGGTAATAACACAATAACAGTTGCCTTCAGATCTGCTGTAAAAGAAGCAGAAAGGTTGGCCAATGAGTCGCCCTACTTCATTCCACCGAACTGTACAGTACCAGCCCAACATGGTGAATGTCATGTTCAATTTATACGTAAAGCTCAATGTTCCTTTAGTTGGAATTGGGGACCATCTTTTCCCGTGCAGGGTATATGGTAAGCTTAGAGTTCTCTTACTTTTATATAACATTAACCTTTACGTTAGTTGGATTTAAACAATGTGTTCGTCTCGAGTAACGCTCTTCTCTTTCTTTCCATAAAAATGTATATATTGAAACTCTTTAAAATTATTTAATAAAAGATCATTTTTAAGGCATGACATCTATATCCAGTCATTCGATACAACTGTTATAAGAGAATATTCAGCTTTAACAAAGAAAGGTATAGTTGCATTATTGAACTGAAACGTCATCATTTCTCCATTCTTTAACATGCGAGAAATCAACTTATATAAACGCTTCTTTTAATTTATTAATAATATATGGGTAAAGTTAAGAATATCGATGTACATGTAATTATAAACATGTTGATGTAATTTAGAACGTGGGTGTGATAATGTCAGTAAGAAAGAATACTCTGGTAGTGTTCATATTTCATATTATTTAATGAGCAATAAAACAAAATAGTCATGCTGTGTACAATATCTGACGGTTAGTAAAATGACAAGATCGTATATGGTCATTATGAATCTTATAAATTTAGACAGACCGAAGCCACGAAAGGCTAAAAAAAAGTAGATTTATAGTGTATGATTCAAAATGAACACGAGTACTATTCATTAACCAATTCATTAGCCTATAACTTGTATATTTTCTCTCTTACTTTTCAGCTGGTGATAATACATGGAGTGTAGATGTTGAAGTACATTTTGACGTAAGAACTGGAAGTACAACAGGAGAACTAGAAACACAACTTGTAGGAACACCTGTTTCTTTAAGACAAGTGATTACATTAAACTCTGCTAATAGCAGTGTTCGGTATACTCTGAATATACCAAAGGTAACTACTTTCTCTCATGCTTTAGGCGTTTCAACCACCTCATTAAGGCAGCAGCCTAGAATGCTTCTTACTATTATCTTTAGGGTCATAAAAGTCTATCATGCCTTGTCAGCGACGTTACTAACTTATTCTGAAACTTCTCTGGTTCTTGCATTCGTGACATACTCGTTTTTACTCACTGAACCTGATTGTGAAACGGATGCAATAACTCAACACACGTCACCATCACCAGCTCCATTACCCTTCTATGAGATTCCAGATCACTGCATCATCGACCCAAATCGTTCAAGAATAAACAAGACTAATTATCACACGGTAGGATTTCCGTTTAAACTTTATGATTATTCATATAAGGCATACCATGTTTCATTATAATCCTATAATCCTCTAATATTATCTGTTTTCAAATATTAAAACATGGTATTACATGCATTTTGTTTTGATTTGACAGGAAATGAATATCGCCATGTGGTGGCCAAATGGATATGGTAATCAATCTTTATATGAACTTACAGTCAAATTTACTAGTGATAAAAGCCAGGAATCAACAGCTAAAACTATTAAGATTGGATTTAGAACTGTTGAAATTGTCCAAGTTCCTGTGTCAAACAATCCGAAACATGGTATGGTATTTTTGGTTCCATTCTGTTTTAAAGTATTGAGGATCTCAATTTCATAATTTGCTTTAATTGATGGTATCTAGTTAGTGGTTTATGCTGTAAAACATGATAAATGACAGAAATGTTCAAACTCTGCCAAATCAAACATGAGAATTTAAGGTCAATTACGAGAAAGCTGTTTTAGTTGTATTTTTTTCCTGGGACTGTGGCAGTGTTGTGTTTAATATATGATTATATGATTATTTTGATTTTAGGACTGACTTTTTTCTACAAAATAAATGACGTGCCAGTATTCTTCAAGGGTACTAATTGGATTCCAGCAGATAGTTTTCTAGAGAGAGTGACATATGATAAAATAAGAATACTTTTAACATCAGCTGCTGAGGTCCACATTAATTCAATGAGAGTCTGGGGTGGAGGGGTAAAATCTATCTATTATTTTTAATTTTGATCTTCGTTTAGCTAAATAGATTTATATTGTGATGTAGTGATAAATAAAAATCCTATCGTATTCCTTTAAGTGCTAAAGTGTGCATGTTTTAAAGGTTGAGATACCACTGTTTGAATGAAAATTATATAACGAATGAAAATTATATAACGAGCTAAATGCGTGATTCATAGTGGTTATGTTGTGTATTCAAGTCATGGGTTCTACCAGTCTTGTCTTCCCAATCTCGTTAATTACACCCCACACCCTTCGTTTGTCTTCTGTGATCAAGTATTTGATGCAAAAGTATTTACCATATACGCAGTTAGTAGATGTTAAATCCCATATTTCTCTGGATGCATTGGTTTAGAATAAACCCGGTTAACAGAGGTGTATATATACAACGGTGTGGTTACAGAACTATTATGTAATAGTAACAGATTAGCACGAATGTTAGCCAACCAACTGCTCAGTTTTGCTATAATAAATGCTTAAATAAAATGGTTTAATGGAATTCTCAAAAGACTGGTGAATACTTACAGAATAAAAATGGCATCACTTTTATGATATTATTTTTTTTTTGTATCTAGATTTATGAAAGTGATTCTTTTTATGAATTAGCTGATGAATTGGGAATTATGATATGGTCAGATTTTATGTTTAGTGTAGCTTTATATCCTACAACTAAATCATTCCTTGATACTGTTACCATAGAAACACGACAACAGGTTAATATTACATTACTATGCCTATAACCTTATCTTTACTTGATACTGTTACCATAGAAACAAGACAACAGGTTGATATTAAATTACTATGCTTATAACATAACTCTTACTTGATACTGTTACCATAAACACAATACAACAGAATAATATTAAATTAATATACATATAACCTAATCTTTACTTGATACTGTTACCATAGAAAAAGACAACGGGTTAATTAATAAATTACTATGTCTGTAGCCCGATCTTTACTTGATATTGTTGCCATAGAAACAAGACAACAGCTGTTTATTTGATATTGTTACTATAGAAACCAGATATCAGATTAATATCAAATTACTATGCTTAGTCATTACTTGAAACTGTTATCATTGAAACTACCGCAATAGTTTATGTTCTTCTTATTAGTACTTTCTCCTTAAAACTATTTCAATAGAAACTAGATAACAGGTTGATATCAAACCACGATTTAAATCATTCTACTTAATCAGTTATTGACGTTGTTATGGATACTGTTACTATCGAAATCGGAGGTATAATTGGTATTCCTTAAAATCTCTGATCGTCATTGTGAACTACAATATTACAGAAGTTACATCTCTAAGGAGAATATAAATACAAAAATGGTTCCGTTCCTTTCGGTATTTGAAAAGATACTATGCATTGGAAATTTGACAAAATTCCTCTTCCTCTGCAGCAGATATAAACGGGGAATGGTCAAAGTAAATAAGCGCCACCTATAATATTCTCTAAACGTTTTGACATCTAGGCCCCTTTTTAATCCGATTGAATCCAAGATGTTGAGTACCTTTTGACGTAGATATAGTCGTGAAAAATTATATTTTGTCTGAAAAATGTAAATGACAAACAACGTGTTCGTACATTATTGGCCGATTTTGTATCCAGTTTTCAAATCAATGGTTGGTGAATGTTTACTTTCGTTTTAGGTTAGACGTATTAAGCATCACCCTTGCATTGCGGTTTGGGCTGGTAATAATGAAAATGAAGCTGGAATAACACAGGGATGGTATGATCAAATCTTTTTGCTAAGTCAATGTGTGTGTGTGTGTGTGTGTGTTCAGGGGGGGGGGGGCTGAATTAAGAAAAAGCGTGTCTACCACCAGCCCCAAAGAATTTTGTGAAATTGATTTGATTTGGTGTATTCTTATGAAATGGGACTTTTACACTTGTACTGAACTCAAAATGTGGATGGCCCTTCATACGTGGGTAGCCACTCGACATGTGTGCGTGTGGGTGGGGGCGGGGTTGATGTGTATAAATATTATAGTGATATCACACTGCGGTGGCGTAGGATAGTGTCACAAATGCCATATTGCTTAATGTATATTATTTGTACAATTCTGTTTATTTATTGTATGCTGCACATTGTATATTTAAGGTATTAAACTTATTCTTAGGTTTGGAGTGAAAGATGTTGATCCATATAAAGCAGATTATATAAAGTTATATATAAATACTATTGGATCTATTGTACAACAAGAAGATACCACTAGAGAATATTTATCATCAAGTCCTTCGGATGGGAAACTTACAAAACAATCTGGAGGCATTGCTCCAAATCCAACTCTTGAATATTTTGGTGACGGTAAGTTTGGTCTTGATACGACAATAAACAAAATGGTGTTGAACATCCTCGCAACAAAAACTAGACCATTTTGAGACTAACCTATGGTATATTTTATTTTCATGGTTTCTATCCTCCCCGTGGTTATAACGATAGAAAACTCAAACTGTTCCCTGAGAAGTAATAAATGTGTTCTTGAAAGAGTACGCATACTGTGCATCGTGTTCATTACCCATCGCTACACATTTACAGAGCACTGCTAGATGATGTGTTAGAATGTGTCGTACTCCACGGATCTGCATTATGACTTTTGGTGTTTATTACTTCCACTAAGCATCTCGGACATCTTCTAAACTTCAATTCCATTAATCATCATTTCTTGGAAGATTACCCGGAACTATTTGATTTATATATTCCTTTTTTATTGTTGCTAAAAAGAACTTTGGTTTACATTATTAAATGCAAACTTTGAGCATCACAAACGAAATGGGGCAGAAGTATTCGTTATTTCATTGCCGCAGCTGTATTTTGGTATTCCAGAGAATTTTAATTATCATCTCAAGTAATGCTACTTACACCGTGATAGACAAATGAAATGGAGTTTACATTCTGATATTTCTGCAATAACATGAAGGGACATTTTGCCCGGGTAGTGACGTTTTCAGATTTGGTTTCAATATTAAAGATGTAATACATTTTTATGTGGTCTATCTGTTTAATTTGTTTCCCAAATTACCCTAGATTATCTGAAAACGTGTCTCGAAATCTGTTTCCCTTTTTTTCGTTTCAGTACATTTCTACAGCAACTATGTAGATTTATGGGACTGGCGAAATGTTCCAATTCCTAGATTTGCATCTGAATATGGTTCTGAATCTTGGTGTAATTATGAAACACTTCAGCCTGTTTTTGCAGAAGAAGATTTAGATTATTGGTCTTATATCGCCAATTGGCGTAACCGGGACACAGCTGGTATATTAACATGTTGATTTCAATACTAACAGGCCTTTCCTGGGGGGCAACTTTTTTTTTTTATATATGTTTAGTATTTCTGTGGGTTCTTTTTAGTTTTTATCAAAAGTAACAGAGTATTGCCATAAGTGTAACTACTCCGCAAAAACATTTTAAGTTATAAAAAGTTAAAACCTTTCATTTGTTTTTCATGCTTTCTAATCTTTTCAATATTTGATATGCTAATATACTTTTTGACTCGGTTAAATATTATGTGACTACAATCTTTGGGATACTATAAAAATTAACGTTCTACGATGTTTTCCTACGATGCCAGACAGCTAGACCATTTCACAAACCAAGGTGTGTAACTCGGGTTCTACATTAATTCTGTCAACCCCAAGTGACGATACCAATGATACTTAGTAGCTAATAAAAACAATGAAGGCAGTCCAGGCCTTGATAATGACTAGAGAAGCCTAGTCGCAGTAATTGTATTCCATAGAATTATGACCTGTATACAGCCCAGGCCTGTAATACCTTATTTAGTGACATAGCTCCAAATTTAGCTTTATAAAAAGAAATTATTCGTTGGCTGTTTTGTTTCTGTTATAGGTAATTTCGTTATGATGACTGAGGCCATGACTCATATACAATTACCAAACTCACCTTATGTTAAAGAAAGATTCCAGGATTTAATATATGTCACACAGGTAAACGCAAACGTAAACAAGTTTTAGATTTACAAAGGTCTTAATTGTATTTAATTTAGCCTGCTACATAATTCATAGGTCGTAGTTTTGAACAAATGAACGATGGATTACGTTTTGTGAACATTTAGATACGTATAATATGTGTTGTTTTCTTTTATTTTATCTTAAAGATACACCAAGCAATGACCATGCGAGTTGAAACAGAACATTATAGAAGACATACTAACTGGCTTGGTGCAGATGGTCGTGGTTTAACTATGGGAGCGATGTTTTGGCAGATAAATGATATTTGGCAAGCTCCAACCTGGGCATCAATAGGTTGTCATTTTTCTACATCTGAATAAAAACGATAGGCGAAAAATGGAGTAGACCAGGGATCCGATCTGGGACAAATCCTCTTGGTAATATCCACCAACCATGTAAGGCATATATAGATCAAGAGAGAGAGGGCGTCCACTTAGCACAAACTAGGTCATTTCGGGACTAACACATGGTTTAATTTTATTTCAATAATTCGCTTGCCCTGTAGGGGTTTTAGCTGTGGGAGGAAACCGGGGGGACCCTGGGAAAACCCACGAGGTTGGACAGGCGACCCTACTCCTTGTCACGTACAAGTGGAAATTCGAAACCACGCCACTTGACTCAATGGCAGACCTTATGATTCCACGCGCACGAGTTAAACCACTAAACTACCCTACCCCCATAAGGCATATAACATATACCCTGATTGATACAAAAAAGAAATTAATAGTAACCTCATAGCAAAATATACGATGTGTCTTGAAAGGAGCAATAATAATTTTCTTCGCGACTTTATGTAAATTTCTCATTCAGATTATGACTTGAAATGGAAGATGATACATTACTATGCCAGACATTTCTTTGATCCAAATTTGATTTCACCGTACATCAATGGCACCAATCTAAATATATACATGGTTATAGATGAAATTCCAAATCATTTAGACCGACATCCTGATACTCATACTCTAGAATTTAGACCATTACAAGAACATCGGGAACTGAAAGAAATATATCCCAATGTTGATTCCGAAAAGGTGATGGCTATGGATAACACAGTTATTATGGAGATGTATACGTGGAATAATTTAATACCATTAAAAACATGGACAATTCCTTATCACGTACGCATATTTAACATAAAATATATATTTGTCAATGGTGTGGGTCCATACACAAAACTTATAACCGAAATGATTTTCAAAATGTGTTACAGGTTTAATATGACAGCCAATACTATATTTTATCATGCATACATTTTTTTAACATTATCGTTGTTCACGTTGCACATGGTAACCATGGTGGGAGCCGTGGCTTTCAACCTTTTTCAGTCTTGCTTTCCAACTATTTTCCCCACCTGCAGCCCACCATCACCATGTTCCACAATCAAATAACTAAAACGATCTCGAAAACCACGGGGTTAACGCTATATAAAAAATTTTGGTAACGTAAACTAGACTGTTGTTATCATTTTCTAGTTTTAAAGTTCTCGTGGTTGTCAGATTTATGTGCGAAATAACCCCATTTGTTTAGTTCATTGAATCGGGTAAAGGAAATGAAATGGGGTTTAACTACACTGGCATGAAGACGTGCATACGCCAAGCAGTTTGCTATGACGAAAATTTTGCGCGACGGCCTACTCTTATATTGAATTCTAACTGTCAAGGGTTATTTTACATCCATGCTAATGTGTACACAGTGCCTCGAATTTTCGTCCCATCCGAAAGCCTAGACAGTTTCCTTCCTACACCACTGACAATGAGAAACCACGTCGGAAATCCACGAGGAACTTTCTCGGCCAACACCGGGAGCGAACCCGAGACCTCTAGGCTAGCAAGCCAGCGTCTTATTCATTGAACCACCGTGGCTCCATCGGGTACGGGTGTTATAGATAGACATACATATGATAATTAATATTCTTTACAAATTTTCAATAATTCAGTTAACAATGTTTCATATTTCAGTTAAACAAAACGTCTGGTTTAATATTTCAAGAAAATTTAGATGATCTTTTATCTGAAGCTGGTTGTTTTGATCAGAAAAATTGTTTGTTTTATTTTTATCTCAACTCTAAATCTAATCCAACCAGTACATCATGGCTTCCATTAACATATTTTACTGATATACAGGATGTTATCAATGAAGCACAAATAACTGTAAGTAAAATAAAATATCTATTTTAAACGATCCCATAATTTGATTTGAACATTTGGTAGGGCATATGATTGAAAGTATCAATATTTTGTCAAGCATAAAGCATGTCATATAAACAATGTACAATAGGAAAAATAGCTAATCCATCAAAAATTAAATGAAAAATATGTTATGTGTGTACATGAATGGATTATTTTTTATCTAACCGCCGTGTGGCGGATTGCGGCGGAGGATGTCCCATCTGGGTTGTTGAGTATCAATGTGTGCAAACTGAAAGTATTTTTTGGATAGTTTATTTTTGTATATTTCAGATAAACCAAGTTACATCTCAGTCAGCCACTGAATTTAGTCTTGTTTTATCAACCAATAATATAGCACCGTTTGTATGGATAAATGCCTACAACATATCAGGAAGATTTTCAGATAATGGCTTTCTTATGAAAGATCCTTTACTTCAGTTGACGTTTACTTCTTGGCAACCAGTAGACCTAGATACATTCAAAAAATCTTTAACTGTTAAATCTTTAATGAATATGTATTATTAGATCGGACAATATGATTATCAATGCTAAATATCAAATGAAGGAAAATATCGAATAAATTATATTACAAAGGATTTCTCGAAAAGCTGATTAAAATGTTGGAATGTATGTGTGAGTGAAAGGAAAGTTGCGGTGTTTTTGGTATTAAAGGCCAGCTTGTTGTTGGTGTGTTAATGATTTATATTAAATCACTAGCAGGATACCCGGCTTCGCTCGGGGGTCATAACTCCGAAACCGGAAGTGGTAGACTAACGCCACCTGGCCTATGTTACTCCCCGGTCGGAGCTACCCCTATACCCCAAATTTCAGACTCGGGGCAGACCTAGTGTAGCCGCCAACTCCGCTTCGCTCGGGGGTCATAACTCCGAAACCGGAAGTGGTAGACTAACGCCACCTGGCCTATGTTACTCCCCGGTCCGAGCTACCCCTATACCTCAAATTTCAGACTCGAGGCAGACCTAGTGTAGTCGCCAACCCCGAACAGACAGACATACAGACAAACGACAGTCACAAATATATGTATAGATTATGGATATAACAGTGCATGAAATAATAAAACATGTTACATTGTAATTGATTTCAGCCTATTGTGATTTCACTCTGGAATAGTGTAGCTATAGTGTACCTTTCAAAGTGAGATCATGTTGTGTTCACTGTGTTAATTTAAACAGTGCATTAAAATAAACTAAAACAAATTTCATCTTTCCATGCTAATTTCTCACAAACTGATCAGCAGTAAATGTCGCTTGGTTGCCTTACCTTTGTGAAACGGTTTGAATTTCTCCTGAAATTAATTTGTTTTAATATTTTTCAGTTTCATTAGGTTTTTAGTTAATACTGTTGACCCAGTTCCCTAATACAATGGTGGGCTAGGCCCTATATCATGGACTTTTCCGACTTGTTTCCCATGTCAAGTCGCTGGCAAAAAGAGCAATTCGGGAAAAGACTACAAGAATGAACATGCCAACGGTTATGGATAGACACCATAATTATGACAATACCCCAATTACTGGTGTTAATAATAAACCCATTAGGTAAAATTACCCCAAGATTTCCTGTATACGATAATATTGGTGTGTTCAAAATACAGTCTTCTATACGATAATATTGGTGTCGCACTAATAAATACAAAATATTTATGACTTACATCGAAATATATTTGGGAATAGCGTTCCCCAAACATCTCTGACCGATAGGATCACGTTACGTTGGGCACGTCAAGTTCGCATTCGGTGAAATGTGTTATTTCGATCGAAACTGTCAAGGGCGTAAGGAAGGACATGCACCTATTTTAGCGAGAAGACTATTGTAGAACAAATACCAGTATATATGGACCGGGAGTCAAACTTTGCGTCACAGAAGAACGTTGCCACAAAAGAAGAACAAGATTAATAGCGTTTTGGGACCAGTTCCGGGCCAAAATGTTCAAATTCACGCCTAAATACACTTTCCCTATTTTCTAGTATAATATGGCGAAAGAGAGAGTGACGGGGTTTAACGTTCACTCGACACAAACTAGGTAATTTCGGGACTAACACATGGTTCAATTTTATTTCTATAATTCGCTTGCGCGTAGGGGTCTTTAGCAGTGGAAGGAAACCAACGGGCCCGGAGAAAACCCAGGAGGTTGGACAGGCGACCCTATTCCTTGTCACGTACAACTGCTGATTCGAAACCACGCCAGTTGACTCAATGACAGACCTTATGATACAGCACGCACGTGCTAACCATTCGGCCATCCAACCCCCTAGTTATATTATGGTATAAATTTAAGACTAAATATTAGTGCTCAATACTAATGATATGATCAATGCCGACACTGTGAACCAATAAATTCGGTGTCGTTTGGGTGCACGATCATAATAATTAAGTGTGGCTAAAATCACAGATATGTAAAATTACAATATTTTGAGTTTAATATATACTATTCAAAAAAAGTAGGGGATATTTGATTTTTAAGTGTTATTAAAGTCACCTAATGAAACTGACGAAGAAACAAATGACAAAATGAAATGAAGTTCACATTCATCGATTTATTCCAAATGATCGTTAGACTAAGTAAGGCACAGACTGACCATTATAAGGGTAAAATGATACCCGGGGTCAAACAGCAAAGTTACCACAGCATCACAACCAAGTCAGTAACGGGTAAATCCTCCTCTGTTTGCCAAACAAGCATTGGTCCGACGTGGCATACTCCTAATGAGACGTCTAAGGTCATTTTGGTCCAGATTGTCCCATTCCTGTTGCAACGCAGCAGCAAGTTCTTGGACATTGGCAGGACGTTGTTGACGTTGACGTAACCTCTGTCCAAGCATGTCCCAGACATGCTCGATGGGGGAGAGGTCGGGACTCAGTGCTGGCCAAGGTAATGTGGTGATGTTCTGTTGTTGGAGGTAACCTGTAACGATCCTGGCCCTATGACATCTTGCGTTGTCATCCTGGAAGATGAAACGGCGACCATGACGTCGTGCGAACGGCACAACATGGACTGCCAAGATGTTGTCCCGGTAGTACTGGCCTGTAACACGCCCTGCAACAACATGTAAAGCCGTTCTTCCAGCAACAGTGATGCCTCCCCACACCATAACAGAACCACCCCAAAATCGCTCAAGTCTGATGACGTTAACGTCTTGGAAGCGCTCGTTTCGACGACGCCACACCCTCCTACTTTTGTCCAAAAAATCAACAGTGAACCTTGACTCATCTGAAAACATCACATTGCTCCAGCGTCGATTATCCCAGTGTTGACGATCCCTACACCAACGACGTCTTGCCCGAATGTGATGATCTCTCAAACAAGGGATCACGCGAGGACGTCGGGCGCGAAGGTGACCCCTATGCAGTCGATTCCGAATCGTCTGGCCACTCACTCTCACACCAGTGTCTGTTTGAAGACGAGCGCTGATCTGATTTGCTGTGATGACACGATTTCTCAAGGCCAAGGTACGGATAAATCGATCCTGGGCTTGAGTTGTCGCCCTTGGTCGACCTGAGCGTGGTCTGTCCTGTACAGATTGTGTATCACGGTATCTGGACCATAGCCTGCTTATGACAGACTGAGAAACATTCATCGTCCGCGCCACAACCGCCTGTGTTGTGCCGATCTGTAGCATGCCAAGGGCACGTAACCTTTCATTTTGGGTAAGTCGACGCATATCAAAATTTGTTTTCTGGTCACTAAAACAATTAAACTGATGTTTCCACCCTGGAATTCAATGCCACAATGACTGTAACATTCAAAGTCAGAGTCGTGCAAATCTTGGGTTGGACATCCATGATGATCCCAAGCACCACCTGCATTCCATGCGGTAGCTATTGGTGCGTTTGGGCGTCACATGTAACTGGAAATGTTTCTTCTGTTAGTTTCTATAGTGACTTTTTTCGTAGTCATTTGCATATTTTAGTATTATGCCCCCAAAATCAAATATCCCCTACTTTTTTTGAATAGTATAGTCTGAAATACAGAATAACGGAAAAAGACATCACATCATTTAAAATAATTTATATTGCATATTCACATTGTACATAGGGGGAATAGTTTTTGTAAATACTTACAAATGAATAAATTTATTATAGATTTCACAAAAAAAACCCATAAAAACATTGGAAATTATATCAGCACTTTTTTTTTTTTAGCAATATCACATAAATTAAAAAGATACGGAGAAACAAAAACGATAGTATATACACAATTATTGATAAAACGAATATCATTCTATTTAGCACTTTTCATTTACCGGTAGTTCAAACAATGTCCTAACAATATTTATTTCAATAGCCCAAGATTTCTACTCAACTACGATTTCATATTTCGGCTCTTAACATATTATATCGCAATTGCAATTATTTCAGGATAAGTTTATAAAGTATACAAATCAGTATTAAAGCTGTGCTGCTGCTTGGGCTACATATTCTGTTCCAAATAATCCACGACACAGTAGGGTAAATTCTTTTACTATGTCTCTGATTTTACGTTTATTCACACGCTCACGCAGTATATTTTTTACAAATTGTTCTTTATCTTGTTTCGACGCTTGAGCAGATGGATAGCCTTCACGTTCCATCATGGCTGGTAGCCACTGAGACAGATATTCAAAATGGTGTTTGTTCAAGTAAAGTATAATGTCCGCTATATGCTCAATAACACCCCTAGGGGAGTTGCCCCCAATAGCTTGCAAAACCCTGTCCACCAAATGAAGGCCATTATCAACAATAACTTGTTTCATTGCTTGTGTCTCAAGACCAGCTTGAAGAAATTCACATAAGAATGAACAAGCAGACCTAACAGTGTGATGTTCGGGGAGTGTCATTGCCATTAATCCAGCTTGAAACAGTTCATTTAAATTAAAACCTTCTTCTAATAACATGTGTTTAACCTTCTTTAAAACCTGAGCTAGTAATGTCATAAAGCTTTCAATTATATCAGTATTTTCTCGTGGTGCTGTTTGGCACAGTTTTACAGTTTTAACACAAATTGTTGACAGCAGCACCTTGATAAGATGTGCTTGACTTTGGTCAGCAGCAAACATAAGGATCATTTGTCTGCCCAAGTCTAGTACAGGACTTTGAGGAACTATTTCATACATCTGACAAGTCATCTGTATCACATCTGGAGCTAGTGGTAGAAAATCATCCATCAATGTCCTTAAAGCCCTCTTAAAGAGAGCACACACCGATTCTATAATAGTAGTTTCCGCCACCCATTTAGTTACAACAGCATGTAAAATCGGAGTTATTTTTTGAAGTACTACAAATACTGGTTTGGGACCATCATTGGAGGGTTTGACTGGGCTGGATTCTACACCTTCATCTTCAGCTGGTTCTCTTTCAGTATCTAAGGAGGCAAACAACCAACTTATTAGGTCAATTTTCAACTGTAAAGCGGGTTTTATAGCTGCTGATGGTTCCTCTGTTGCTAGCTGTTGTAACTGCTGGATATGAGAAGATAAAATACGATCTAAATACTGCATGATTTCATTGAATGGTAGAACTGTTAAAACCTGACCCACGCATGACATCAACCTCAAATTATCTCTTCCCTTTAAAGCATTGGACTCCAGTACACTCTGACTTGCACTAAGTATTTGATAAGCAAAAGGTTGCATATGATCCAAGTTCTCCCTTGAAACATCTTTCAGTGCCATTGTTGCTGCTGTTGCTACTTCACTGTTACCAAGTCCTTGTAAAAGTAAAGGAATCACACAACACAGACTCTCAGGGTGATAGTTCATCCACTCACCAAAACAACCAATCATATATAAGGCTGTCGAGATAAGTTTGTTATTAATAAAAGGAATTCTTGGAAGTAATTTAAGCAAACTTGGAAGATGTTGTCCTTCTTCTAGTGCTACACTTTCCGCAACAGATCCAAAAAGAAAGAATATGGCTTCAATCATTTGCCAATTGTTTTGAGCTCCAGAACTTTCAACAATTCTATTCAGAACACCACACAAATATCCTAACAATGGTTCTCGTAAAATATTGAAGGCATACATCATGGTATCACCAACATCTTGACGGTAACATCGGAATTGTTCCTGCTCATCAGCTGTCCATGACTCATATTCACTATCTTCTGGGTACTGTACTTTTACCAGCAACACTTCCATTAGTGAAAAATACACTGGTTGAAAGATCATCATAAGCTGGTTAGATCTGGGCGCGTCATTAGCTACCAGTTCATCCTGCAAAATGTACCAGAAGGTGAATGTTTGATCACTACATCCTTCATCTACCGGAAAATGACCTGGAAGTGAAGAACATCCCAAAACCATCTTCACTAGATGCATTGCATTATTTCTATGAGCTTCATCATCACTAAGCGCTGATTCTGTGATTAGTTTCGTGTGATTTTCAGCTATGGTTACAATTATGCGACACAATCCATGACTTTTCTCAATGTCCAGATCATCAATTGCTTTTTGAAACATTTCTTGGAGAAGGTGAAGTTGTGGTAATAGCTTTTGGATGGTGTAAGGGAATCGATGGGAGTCTGGATGGGAAAATACACTTACTAAAGTGTCTACAGCTGTCTCAAATAAATCAGGATTATGCAGAGCTTGAAACACATGATGAATTATTTCTTCTCCATCATTCATTGGAATACCAAATTCAACCCAGCTGGAAAATGTTCGGAGGGATTGGTTATAAATATCACTAGGAGTGGACGGAGACAATAGTCCACGTATTATGGGGAGAATTAAACCTAATCCTTTCTGTAATTCAATTCGCAAAGTAACCCTTCTTTTGTGTGTAAGATTGGTACTAAAAAATTCTTCTGGTATTAATTTCAATATCTCTAGAAGTATTTTACATCTTTGAACCATGTTATTATTCTGAATATTTTCTTGCTGAAATGTTGTTATTAAATTTTGAATTGGATCAGGCCAATGTTCAGGTGCCGAGCGCAAAAGAAAGGATGATAGTGCAACGCATAATCTTGTAAACACCATTTTGGGACCAGATGAAAACTGCAGAATCTTTTCCAAAAGTTTAGCTCTAAGAGAATCATATTGTTCAACTGGAACTTCATGCCAATATCTAGATATCTTAGCATGGAGTGTGCTGGCTCCAAAAAACTGCACCTCACCGCTTTTCTGCTCAGAAAGCAACTCGATACAAAAGGACCATGCCTCAGGACTAACTTGAGCAGCAGTCAACCATTTATGTACCTCTTGCTGAATATTCGTATTGTAATAAAACTGCAACACAGCTTGTTCAACATTTTCAGTGGTGAACTGTGACGCCATTATTTACAATATAAGAACAATTGAATACGACAGTCAATTTTATACTACCAGTATAACCAATTAATTGTCCAATCTGTTGAACTGGGTGTAATTCAAGGCCTTCATTCAGTAACACAGGGAATTATATTTTCTATGACTGTACCGTACCAAACACTTGTCTACACACTCTAACTCTAATTTATGTCTAAAAATGTCTAATCAACATGCAGTATTAAGCCGATGCTTTATCGTTGTAGTGTTATTGTTGTAGATATCAATAAACAAACCAATAGGATTTGGAATCTGAAATCCAAGTTAAAAGGTTTTTCGTTTACGCCACTACCATTGAAAAATAATACCGGAATATTATGATTGGCACCGTTTTCGATCTCGAAACTGACGACTCAATTGTTCGTTTGGTTGAAATCAGCGTCACTTTCAAACCAGCAAATGAACGCTGTCCAGTTGTGTCAATGCTGTATTCAGGTACAAACACCCGGGATGATAAATTTAGAACTGTGAGTATAAATAACACTGAGTTCATCTCACATATGATGTAAACAAGATGATAAAATTGTGACTATGGTCGCCGCCATATTGGTTGTATTACTAATGGGAGGCAACTCTGGATGAAACCAAATTTTCAAGGTAAAACTCTCCAAAAACAATAAAATCTGTGATAGTTATATAATACGCGTTAGTTCTACATGTATGTTGATTAATATCTAATTTTAATCTCAGCCGTTTTCACCTAGGAGATTAACTGAGTTAACCATAACAATATGGACGTCTTTATTGGAGTTATTTCCCTTGGATCATTTTAAGGAGAGCGGTTCACTAATCCGCCGCTATAAGAAATACCATAAATATGTGTATCAATAACCCAACCCTAATAATAGATATCGGTGGACTAATGAACCCTAATCCTAACAATAGATATCCTAACAATGGACTACTTAACCCGCGGACGAGTGAGCATTCCCCATTTTAAGAACTAACAAATTATATTAACTTCATACTTTTCTGCACCAGTTTCCGAAGAAAGATCGGACAACATTGTTTTTATGCTCAATAAGAATTAGCCTACCAAACAGCTCCGTGTGAGGGTTGTGCCTGATAAACCCTGGAGTTGTGCCAGATCATGTCAGTGACAGCTTGGTGCCTTATTTCCAGGCTTTTGAGTTCACACTTTCACTTTGTCATTGTGTAGGTTGCTAGCAGCTGGGGCAAGACAAGTGTTGTCTCTCCTAATCCGTGGACCGCTATCACAATCACAAAAAAAAAAAAAAAATGTTAAATGGTAATGTTTATTTCCCCCCCTTGGGAAACATTGTAAAAAATATTCGAACATTGCCAGAGCACCCTCCCTGGACTCCCGTCTGCACTCTCTGCCACTGAACTGTACGAATAGACCATGGACCTTATAATTGTATTATAAGGTCCATGAATAGACTTTCTACCCTGACTATTCGGTCCAGTTTTCACAAAATTTGAACTCAACCGACATTGCGGTGTAACAGTGATATTTTTGAACATTTTATTTTTTAAGTCGGATAATTGTGACCTCTAGAGGGACCACAAGCTAAAAACACGATTTTTCATACAATCAGAGACCATAATTCAGGAAGTTACTATCTGATATGTGCAAATATCGAATGGAACCAAGATCTTTGGGTTATAAACATGCATTTCAAGTTTCATCAAAATCAGATGAAAATTGTGACCTCTATAGTGTCCACAAGCTAAAAATGTGATTCTTCAAACAATCCATGAAGTTATGGTCCAATACATGCTTCTATCAAAAGGATCTGAGGTGGGAGGTAGACCAATATTTCAAGTTTCGTCGAAATTGGATACAATTGTGATCTGTAGAGTGTCCACAAACAAACTGTGGACATGTGGACAGACGGACTGGACAGGCACGGCGGCATAATACGTCCACATGAAAAAGTGGGCGTATAAAATTTATTTTGTTGTTTGTGCATCAGCCATTTTTAATTGGGCCTACTTCTGCTTTATCTTGTGAGACATGTTTTTCTTTGCTCATTACAATTTCGCTCAAGCCCGTAGAATACACAACTCGTGTACTGATTTTAAATTGTTGATTCTGTCTTAAATATTGGATATCAGGATCCGATATTTTCATAGTAAGATAACAGCATCAATATTGATCGAAGTGAACCAATACTGAATCTAGTTTGTGTTTTTAATTTCAAATGGTATGAATAACCTTGAGTTAAGGGTTTAGCTCCTTTAAGTAAATAAAATGAAACTAAAAAAAAAGTATTAAGTTGATCAAACTTTATTTAGACATCATGTGATTGCAAATAATGTTCATGACAAAAACAGATAATTATTTTCACATAATATATTCATGTCCATAATTGTAAAGTAAAGTATATATAATGTAGAACCATAACATGAAAGTTATCTGATCAGTGGTGGCAGCAGGATTTTCAGTGTGGGGATCGGGGAGATCAGGGCATCCCTCAGAAAATTTTCAAGCGTTCCCATTGAAATACATGATATGAAGTATGTCATTGATAAAGAATATAATCAACAGACATCCTTAATAACTGAGCATTATTAAGAGTTGTAATCATCAATCCCTCTAAATCAGATACTCAAGGCTATTAACTCTCAACACTGAATTCCATGCAAGACTTTGAAAGGACTCTAAAGCATAAACCTGAAAATTGGAAATTTGGCTTGTGAAGTTTGGACAGACTAACATAGAATCAAAAGTACATACAATAATTTTTGACTTTTGCAAGTTCATTCGATAGGTTGGGTGAGGGGGCACACCACCACTGTATGATATATATTATAGAAAAACAATAATAGAATGTACATTATCCTTAAGAATATTCATTTGGTGATAAAACAAAATTTTAGTGCAATAAATCTAAAATAAAGTTCCATAAATATTTAATGTATCTCTAAACCTTCAAAAAGCGAAACATCATATACATGTAAATTATATGAAATTTAGGAATACATGTATCTATAAATAATCATGGACTAATCATTTATGTAAGATATAATATATCAGTCCAAATCTTCCTAACACAATCACAACAAGCAACAAAATATTGTTTCATCATCTTAATTTAGTATTCATAATTACTCTATTAAAGGAGTTATATGTAGCACTAATTGATATATATATGTAAAATACAAATTTATGAGCTAATGATTACTAAATGTGTATTATTATCACAGAAATATACTTCATTTACATTCTACCTATATGTAAACCATAGCTGTCAATAATCAAAAATAATTTATATTGTAAGCTATCATATTCATATGTTCTTTTTAAATTTTCTCGAAATAACCAGCCACTCTATTTAGTATATATGGCATTAATATATTAACGCCCTAGATATACAAACACTTATCTTTATATACATGTACACACACCACAGCAAACAACATTACAGAATTTTAAAGTTATTATCCCTTAAACTCTATAGTTTGATGAAAAGAAATTGCCAATTAGTTACCGTTGAATAAACAGGAAAAATATCTATTAAATTTAGATCAGTTTAAATAAAACTGCATGTCCATTTATTTATTTGAAATGAAATGAAATGAAATGATTATCACTTTCCATTAACCTCACCCTTTACAGTCTTACTATAATTCTATCTTTTCATGTCCCATTGTCCCATCAGTATATAGAATTAAATATTACATTAATACACAGTATGGTATAGTATATAATAGGAACTACAAAACTACATTGTACCCATGAAACACCCTATTAAATAATCTGTAATCATGTCAAATATTCTTTCTCTACCATATACATAAGTAATAGAAAAACCAAAATTGAAAAAAAGCGTAGAATTAAGGACAAAAATTAAAAAACACAAAGAAGTAAAATAAAGAAAAAAAAAGAAGGATAAATTGAATGAATAAGTAGGCTAACCTACAGGAAATGTATCATCTCTTTAATTATTTTCTTTGTCGATACATCCATTGACATGATAATTGAAATCATTATCGGTTGTATTTTCATCAGCCAAATGATTACATACAGGGCAAATTCTACCGCTGTGAGTCAAAACATGCTCTTCGAAATCTGCATCAGAAATATCAGGAGAAAAACTCATGTTACATCCTGGACATATTTTCATGCCTACGCCTTTAGCATCTACAAACCTACAAATAAATACATAAATTTTATACATAATACTTAAGGTGAAAACCTACATATTATCTTGAGCATTTAAATATTGTCATAGCTCATAGTGATATGGAAGATTGGAAAGGAAATGGTTTAAGACAATCTTTCGGTCATTTAACATATGGTTAATTTTTTACATTATCACATACATGCAATGCTCTAGATAATCTTCATCAAGTTTTAACTGCCAAGTTTAGAAAAGAAACGGTTTAACTTTTTGTCAACACAATCTCTCAGACGTTTAACATATGGTTAATTTTTTGCATTATGACATAAATGCAATGCTATGGATACTCTTCATCAAATTTTGACTGAGAAGGTCGGACCTCAGTGTTTTGTCCCAATCTGAATGACCAGGCTAAACTTGACAGATACTCAAAAATGGTGTTAAACTTTTAACTAAACACAACTAGAATATGTTGGTAAAAATGTTTGCTATACAATATATATGTTAATTTCATGAATCCATTAAAATTAACATATATTTTAAGCAAACAGTCTTCTTACATGCTGTGCAATGGAGGGATGATACTCATCCTCCTTGATGACATATCCAATTATCCAATTCACTGATCCATCATTTATAAATTAACACACATTTTCTATTATCTACTTACTTATCTTCGTCTAAATCAAAAGGAGCAGATGGAACTGTTTTATCGAAGTAATTTCTTGCATCAACAAAGTTCATGTCAGTCTGATCATCTAGACAAACAAATACAAATAAATTACATAAATTATAACATATCTGAATTTTTGTTTCTTGGAAAAAGATACAATTTTAACAATACTTGGCTGTTCATCTTAGGTTCAAATTTTAAGTTGGAGATCTTAAAACTCCACTGTCCCCGTGAGGCTGTTCATCAAGATCCTGAAGAACTAAATTTAAATTGGTTTGACCGAACATTAAAGAACTATTTTATTAATAAACAATACTAAAATTATCAGGAGTAAAGGATTTGTCCAGCAAAAGCCCCTAAAGACAATTCTGACCACATCATTGTTATGCATATGCAATACATAATCTGATTAAAATACAGATCTATATTTTGTTTCGATTTTTTATACTTTATACTACATGAAGATCTGACCAGTTGTAGTGGAAGGTCATGTGAGGGGTCATATGAGCGGCTTTTGTCTCTATGATGTCAGACATTTGATTAAACAATCAGCTTTGGTGTTTCTAGTGGGATACCCTCAGTCCCGTGTACTACATGTGAAGAACTCGCTGCAACAAACCGTTTCATTGGCTAATCCTTCACATCAACCAGACTGCGGTTTATATAACAACTCTTCCAGATCCAAGTGTAGTAAAGACAAGTAAAACGAAATTTTGAACTATAAAAAATGAAACGAAATAGGATCTGTGTTTTAATCAGATTGATGCAATACAGTAATTTCGAAAAATTGTCCCATTTTAATTGCTATAATTGAGGTATGCTGTTGAGGATTAAGCATTGAAATTTATTTATCTGCTTTGTGATGGCGATCTTATAAAACATGTTACAAGTGATGTTGGACTGAATGAAAGGTAAAGTCCTTTGTGAGTCAACCATATCTACCTATATTAGAGAAACAAGCTGCTCTAACAGCAGCCGCTTTAGCTGAAGGTAATACAGTTGGTGATATAGGGGCTGGTAAACCATCAGTACTTTCACTTTCACTCAGAGGATCAGGTGTTGTAGGTGGAACAAAGCAAGGTTGTGTTTGTCGAACAGGTATGTGTGGATATATCAAGGGAGGAAGATGATTTTTTGGACCATCTTTACTTGATCTGAATGTTTCTCTTTGTTGTAGATACGGGTTGCCATAAACAAACTGACATGGTTGTGCCATGTATTTCATATCATTAACGGATCCATTATCTGACATTCTCAATGATGAATTTTCCTGAAATATAATTTTACAACATTATAGATACATGACAAAATTTCAATGACACATTAATTATAGATACATGACAAAATCTCAATAACACATAGATAAACATGTATCACAAAATCTTAATTCTTAATAACACATAGATACATCACAAAATCCCAAAAACACAGATACATCACAAAATCTCAATAACACATAGATCCAGGGTTCCATACCTCAATTGAGGGTCATGACCCCAACCAGGGTTGCGGAGCACTTTTAGTGGGGTCGTGGTGGACTACTCTGAAACTTTTGAAAAAAGGCTATGATCTATACACCTCTTGTCACATTGCCAATTGTCTTTCTTCAGTCTATCATTACAACATTTTCATCTGTAATTTAATGATGATGTTTCATAGTAAAAGGAGACTTTGTTCTTCAAGGGGTCGCGACCAAATGATGGCTTCTTGAATGGGGTCGCAACCGACCTAGGGTTGGGAACCACTGATATCGATATATCACACAATCCCAATAACACATATATTATATGTATCATACAATCTCCATTACAAATAGATATACGATGTACATAATAAATAATATATTTAATACAAGAAGGATATTAAAAACTACATATAATTATAAACTAATCCATCAAATAATCCTACATTCAATGAGTAAAATGGAATTATTGTTTTTTGGGGGGGTTTTATCCATGCTAAAATTATTTTAATTACCATTTTAAGATCTCTTATTGTATGGTTGAGTTCTTCAATCTGTTTATCTTTCTCCGCCAGAAAGCTCTAAAAATAATAAAAAATAGAACTCTGAAGGAGTACTGACATGTTTCGGTACGTCAACTCACGTCTTGTCACATCAACAGTCAAGTTATATGAATTATTGAGCATAGTAACATCCAATACCTATTATAGTGGAAAAACCTGTCACTTTTAACTCTTAATAAAACTGAAAGTTATACTTCAAGACCAAACTTTTTGATATTAACTGTTAGCTGACATAAGGGTCATCATATATACAAAGGTCAAGGGTTACTGAAAGGTTAGGTCACCTAATAGAAGATCAAAAGTCGAACAAAATTAAAAGTGAAACCAGAAGTAAACAAAATCAAAATTCAAAAATCGGCTCCCTAACAACTGTTGCCATTTGGAGTAGGTTCAAAACAAATTTTTTTTTTCAAAAATCGGAATCATATAATGGTGGCTGAATATCAATTTGAAGGTTTTTTTGTAAAATCCAATATGGTGGCCAAAAGGTTGAAAATGTTATTCTACATGGTCTCTGAAAATGAAAGATAATATCTGGGGCTAACACCACCATATGTCATTTTGGTTAATTTTTAAAATGGAGAGAACTATTCATATTCGGGAAAAATCAGAAGGCCTCATTAATTTCCGGAAGCCGCCACAAAATTATCGGTTATCATCGAGAATGAATAGGATTCTACGTCTGATGATATTAATCGGATATTAAATTTAGCCTCTAGAGCGTCCACAAGATTTTTCAATAGGATCAAGGGCCATAACGTTGGCAGTAATTATCAGAAATCGTTGAAAATCAATAAGCTTCTTCAAGTTCTTTGTCTGATGACCTTAAACACTGTATATAAATTTAACGCCAATCAGATATTAACTTTAGCCTCCAGAACTTCCACAAGATTTTTCAAAGTGATCAAGGACCATAACTCTGGCAGTAATTATCAGAAATTGTTGAAAATCAATAGGGTTCTTTGTTTGATGACCTTCAACACTTTGTATAAATTTAACGTCAATCGGATATTAACTTTAGCAGTTGTGGTCGCCAGACTAACGGACTGACGACTGGGGGTGACAACAATATATGACCACATTTCAATGTGGGCGTATAAAAAATTAAGTTATAAAGTAAGTAATAAAGTTCAATAAACTGTTTTAGTGAATAAAAAAGTCTTTAGATTAGATTTAAAAGTCTGAAGTGATTCAAGTGACTAAAATCCAGTTATAAGGCGAGCAGCAGAGTTTGGGAATTTTCTAAGTTTGTCGAGTGCCTTTTTTTGAACACCAGAAAGCAGTGAGTTAAAATTGTCCAGTCTAGAAATAACTAAAGCTTGATGAATTAGTAACTTAGTAGCATCTGTTGAAATATATTTCTTGACTTTACCAATGTTTCTCAGGTGAAAATAACCTGTTTTACAAATGTTATTTATTTGCCACTCCATATTCATACGTGAATCGAAATGGCTCCAATGCTTCAATGTTTCTAGCAGACTTAAGACTGAGATATAGTAGACTCTCCTACACAAACTGATAAATCGCCATCCAGTTTAGAAAGAATGAAGTTTGAGTGTATTACTAAATATTTAGTTTTGTCATCATTTAATTTAAGGAAATTTTGTGACATCCAAATTTTAATGCTATCAATACACTGTTCAATGTTAATTTTATATATTGAGATTGCCAGGATTTGAGGGATTAAACGAAATATATAACTGTGTGTCATCAGCATGGAGGTGATATTTGAGTCCAAGTTTTCTAACCAGATTATCAAGAGATGATGCATATAAACTGAACAATATCGGCCCAAGCAGAGATCCTTGAGGCACTCCAAATTTCAGCTGCGATTCAGAGTAAGATTCCTGGCCCATAACAACAACTCGTTGTGTCCTGCTGATGTAAGACTCGATTATTTTTAGAGCGTCATCAGTGATTCCAAAGCCTGTTTTCATATGATTAATAAGAATCTGATGATCTATTGTATCAAAAGCAGTTTAGATAGGTCTAATAGGATCAGAAGAATGCAGTTTTGATTATAACGCTGTAAGAATATCATTGTGGACTCTCACTAATGCTGTTTCGCTGCTGTGATGCACTTTGAAGGGCTCCAAAAGATTATATTTTTTTTTACCAACATGAGATGTGATCTGTTTAGAGATGACACATTCCAGAAGTTTGGATATGAAAGTTTGACACAGTCCGATACATTTTCTTGATTTCTGGATCCAGTAATTTCTTTTTGATGAGTGGAAATATTATGGTAGACTTAAAGGTGTCTGGAAAAATATTTTCACTGATTGAAGAATTTATAATATTTGTGATAACACAAATTAATGATGGAAGACAGTCTTTTAAAAACTGTGTAGGAATTGGATGAAGTAAGCATGATTTTGATGATCAGTGTCAGACTTGGGTAGTAAAGTAATGCCATAGTTGTAATCTAATAATGTATTGGAGATACGGAAAAGCTCTTTGAATTTGTTGTCACTATTGTAAATTCTATCAGAATAATAAAATTTCTTAGCACCAACAATGCATCTTTGTCAAATTTATAGAATAAGTCTTCATAAGACTGAAACAAATTAGTGCATTAAATCTCAAATGTTATATAAACTATTATTTGGACATTTATTCACATGATAAGCCTAGAAGCTACTGTCTAGACCAGGTGTGTCAAACATGCAGCTGGTGGCCCATGACTGTTGTTACAATAATAAACATTCTATGCTGATCTAAACTTCAAACAGTGAAAACTTCATTCAGAATAAAGTAATTTGAATTAAATATTCATTTTGCATTATCTTTTGTTGAGCTATTATAACAAGAACGTCCAGCTCTTTATCTAAATCTTACATAATGCATTTTTAAGAAATGGTGAATCCTGATAATCAAGGATATATAATTTTAACATTATGCTGGTAGAAAACAAAACAGAATACTACTTACTGTACAAGACATGTGTTTGTGTTCAAGTTCTGTTGTTCGTGATCTCATAGTTGATTTCAGGGTGTGTATTTCTGAATCTTTCTTCTTCATTTCTTCTAAATGTTCACGTCGTAGGCATTCATTCGTAAAATGCTCTGCATGGTACATCTTCTTAAATTTCACCATTTTAGCCTTTATGTCTGCACCAGCATTACTATCTGCATCTGGTGATGATGACTTATTTTCATTATCTGTATTGTACTGAGATGTCATGATATATGTCACACTCTCTGTAATTCAGAAATCAAAATGATCATTTAATATAAAATTAAGAGAGAGAGAGAGAAGTGGGGTTTAACGTCCACTCGACACAAACTAGGTCATTTCGGGACTAACATATGGTTCAATTTTATTTCCATAATTCGCTTGCACGTAGGGGTCTTTAGCAGTGGCAGGAAACCGGAGGACCCGGAGTAAACCCACGAGGTTGGACAGGCGACCCTACTCCTTGTCACGTACAACCGGGGAATCGAAACCACGCCAGTTGACTCAAGACAGACTTTATGATACAGCATACACGTGCTAACCATTCAGCCATCCCCCCCCCCCCAATATAAGATTTAGAACTACCCATCTTCTTATATCACTTTTTGTTGTAGATACAAAAAACTTTTATTACTTATATCACAAAGACAGAATCATTTGACCTTTGAGAGGTGCAAGACCACATCATTAGTGTCTCATGGAATGAACAACTATAAACGACCAATACAAAATGATTAATTTTTACGAAAACTTAAAATTAAAAAACTTCAATAAGTAACAAACCTGCTGATGACACACTTGAAGCTTTCTGTAACTGTTCTGGTTCTATTGCACTCCTCTCTGTCTTATCTCCTGTTATTCCTGTAATAGACACAAACACATGCATTTTTTCCTTTCTTCATAAAGTGTTCACAGGCAAATGTTGATGACTGGCAGGGTTTATGACAATATACAATCCTATTTCAATGTGTAACAACCCATCAAGTAATTATCAGAAATAATTAAAATCTCATAGGCTTCTAGTTCTTCTTAGTGCTAACATTTATTACACAAAATATGTTCTGATAACAATGTAATAATAATGACCCTAATGAGATATATTATTCTCAAAATGATCTAAATTCATGTTAAGACCTATAACTTACTAGATCTGCAATGTTTACATTTCTTCTGAAGTTTGATGTTTTCTTTATAAAGTTGTTTATAAGCATCAGAGCACATGGTGATTCTTTCTTTTAAATCTTCTATTTCTCTACGTAGTTCGTTTTCCAGGGAAGTAGTTTCTTTCTAAAATAACCAATTATACAGTATTAATACAGTTTTATTCTTTTCTAAAACCACACCTAACAAAACCACAGAGTTTAAATAAAAGTAATTAAGATCGGTCACTTTTGACTGTTAAATTTTATTGGCTTAAAAAAGGTTTCACAACTGTCGCTTTATAGTTTACAAGAGAGATTCCACTGAAAATTAAAAATTTGACAATTCAGAGAGCGAGAAATGGTGTTTAACATCCACTTGACACAAACTAGGTCACATCTGGACTAACACATTTTAGTTTTATTTCAACAATTCGCTTGCACGTAGGGGTCTATAGAAGGAAACTGGACGACCGAGAGAAAACCCAGCACAGAATAGTAAAATGCTTAGTTGCGTTGTATGCAAGTCTTACAAATTCTTTGTGGAATAGGAGCCGGTTCTTAAATACATCACAAACCTGTAGTCTTTTAGCTTTAGCTTCTTTCTTTTCCAATTCAACTTCCATAAGTTTATGTCGCTCTGTTAAAGAATTATTAGCTAGCTGTAGAGCATACATAGATGCTGTAGTTGAGTTTGTTTTCTTCTCTTCCTGTAGAATAATCATCTCTTTCTGTAATTCTTCTTTCTCCTAAAGCATACAAACATCTCACAATTTCACTTCTATACAATCAGTTCCATAAGTAAACTGTTTTTATGAGACTTTTAATATTAGTTTATTTTGTGAAATTCTCAGACTCTGCTGCACTGCAATTTTGTTTTCTGTGTGGGGGATCACGTGGCTAAGTGGGTAAGATGCTGGCTCGCTAGCCTGGAGGGCGGGTGTTCGATCCCTGCATTGGCCGAGAAAGTTCATCCAGATTTTCCGGTGTGGTTCCCCCTTGTCAGTGATGCAGGACAGAGGGCCTGACAAGGACAGCTGTCTAGTCGTATGGATGGGACGAAAAACCGAGGTCCCGTGTACACATTGGCGTACACGTAAAAGATCCATCGACAGTTGGAATTCGATATAAGAATAGGCCGTAGTGCCGCTGTCTGGGCAAAATTTCCCTCATAGCACACTGTATGGCGAATGCCCGTCTTCATTAGCCCAGTTCGGAGCAGAACAGTAGGACGTTGAACCCCATTTCATTTCATTTCATTTGTTTTCTGTGGATGTTTTGACAAACATTTGTCAAGTGTAACCACCTATCAAAATAACTTACTGTGACTACTTTTTTCAAGTCAGCCTGCATACTTTCATTTTCTGTCCTCAACAAAACTGCTTCCTTGGCAAATTCAGTTTCCATTCTTTCTACATCTTTCTTTAATTCCAAGTTCTCACCATGACATGTCTGTTGTAAACAGATATAGAGAAAATAAACAAGATCGTTCTCAGTAAAGGACCAAAAACCTAGCTTACAAAATGCAGATCTGAACTGAAGCTAAAGGGAAACAGTGATCTTTGTAACTTTCTATAATGAATCCCAACCCCTTTCTTTTCCAAATTCCTGTATCTCTACGTGTATGCCAGTGTAAGTCTATCATTTGTGGGAAAATATGTAAGCTTTTCTAATTGCATAGTTAAGACTAAATATAACTAAGAGCTTTTTTTCCAGTTTGTGATGAGCATTGGCGTACGAGCTGGGGGGGGCGGCCGCCCCCCCATTTTGGGCACCAAATGCTGGGAAAATTTGGGCACACAATTGTACTTTGTAAAAGTTGTATAAAAACATATTGTGTTCTTGAATGCGTCCAATTTAACAGCGAATTTAAATTCAGAGTGTCTATAGTTAGGCAATTAAATAGAAATCTTAAGACTCGAACCCTCTATTGTTTGGAGTACAGTAAGCCACAAATTACAGTTACATAAACAACTGTTTTTAGTTGTGTATATTACAAGTAAATAAAATTTAGTTCTCTTTTATTGATGATTTAGAAATTAAGAACTTATTCATCGCAAAAGAGATATTATGATTATTATGTAACATACTAAGAACCTAACTACATTTTTGGGGCACCAACCACCACCACCACCCCCCCCAGTAAAAAATTTCCCCGTATGCCTATGGTGATCAGCTATGCTCAATCAAAACTTTTAATTTTTAAAACCAGTCCTTTAATTATTCCAAACACATATTTAGCAAAAATGAAATAATGATTTTAATTTTATATCATTTACAAAATTATTAACCATTTTGCCATGAATAATTTTAAACAAAATACTTAAATTTTCCCAAAATCATAGCAAGGCCTTTAATGCTGGTTTTTTTATAGAAAAGTATTCGTTACCTTAGATTACAACCCCATCAGCATGAGCATCCTATAATAGTAAGTGCACGAGGACTATATTACATGTAAACATAGCCTATATAAGACAAACCCGTGGAGTATTTAACTTAGATTACAACTTCATTAAAATATGAGCATCCTAAAAGTATTTAACTTACATCTAGCTCCTTTTTAAGATCATCATTAGCAATACTGTAGGCACCCATCTCATTACTCATAATTTCCTTTATTTTTACAGCAGCTTCGAGTTTATCTTCTGTATTACGCAATTTCTCTTGTAGTTTTTCTACAGTATCCTGAAAAATATCATTAATATTTGTACACATGTAACATTCTAAAAATAGTAGAGCCATTATACCACAGATATAAATAGAACTAGATCTGCCAGGCAGATATGTGGAAGCAGACGTTAAACACCAAGAACTACTACTACAGGCAGATATGAAAGCTTTCATAATCCCAGTCACTTCCTGTCACTTGTCATGGGTTATATATAAAGAATCTTAACAATAAAAAATAATTATTAAAATCGCTCAAAGACTCGCAAAGTTATAAGCTTAAATATAGCGAGAAACATTTTACCCGCGCGAATAAATAATCTGAAAAATAAAAGAAAATAACCGAGACTAATGGACTATATCAAAAATCTTAAAAGAAAAAAGAACAAAAAAAGTAATTATTAAAAAAATTGGTTAAAAACTTGTGAAGTTATAACAGAAGTCTAAATATAATGAGAAACATTGTACCTGGGCAAAAAAATAACGGGAAATAACTGGGACTTGTATTGCTGTAAGCCATTCAAAAACGAGACAGAAAAACGGCGGGGAAAAAACTAAAAAATGGCGGGAAAATATTGAAAAATTAAATGATATAACTTTGAATGGAACTTATATTTTTGGAATCGGATTGACCTCAGCTGATTGAATATTTAGGTCAAATTTGTAAATTTTGAAATATTCAAATACCAAAAATTTGACCATGAGCCAGGCTATCCAGAAATGTATTTACTTCGGAAATAGGAGATGAATTCTCCAAACCACAATCTATTGTGCTTATTTTCAAGCCGTTAATGTGAATTTTTCGCTATTTTTCATATTCAAGTCAAAATGGCGTCCACCCACTGACCGAAATCAAAATTCTGCTCTCTACATTTTATAGGCATTCCTTCAAGGATTCAGAAATGTAATTCCCGTGTCTGTAAGTAAAATATTGTAAATCAGATGTGTACTTTTCACGTTTTAAGAGGGTTGCACTTCTGGTTTAATCGAAAAACTTCATATTTTGTGTACGCATCAGTAGTGTCTTAGCTAGTACAGAAAAAAAAATTTCAAGGCAATCTGACCTACTTTTTTCCGATTTTTTGGAAAAATTTGATCGTTAATTTCTCCAAGGGGAGATTAAGTTAGAAAATTACTGAAGACATCGTTCAAGTTGAATCTGTCAGATGTACTTACTTTCCAAATTTCAGAAAAATCGCGATAATATTAAAGAAGTTGTCAAATTGGTCTCAACATTCGGGACGAAATCACAGTGACGAATATTTGAAAATCGGAAATTGCAGTTGTTAATGAATTTTTTCAGGGCACTCAAAGAAGAAAGAATGAGTAAAATAGGTCAAACAGTCACAAAGTTACAGATAAGTAGGTCAATTGTTTTCGTCAGTAAAATTCGGTGATTTCGGATTGGAAAAAATGTTTTAAAAATATATTCAATTCCAAAGCCATCACCCATTCAGAAAGACCCTATGGTTAGATTCTGAGATATAAGCTTGGCAGGAAAAACAAAACAATAATAATAATAATATTCTTAACAAAAACACTAAGCTTTCATATAACATATGAAAGCTTAAAAAGTGGCATAAACCACTCACTGTGTATTTTATAAATTGTTGGGATTTTTTTTAAAGACAGACTGTAAATTTTGTTTTTTAAAAGGAATATTATACAACTTTATGAGTTCATTTCTGTAAGAAATTTAGCAGTAGTACAGATATTTAACTTAAAATAACAAGTTGATTTGAGAAGCAATTATGGAATCAGTGGTTTATATTACATAATTTTCAAATAAATTCTACAAAAACCCCCAAAAAAACAAGGTACAAGCCAAATCTAACCCATTTTGGCATAAAGCATCAGTCCCCGAGTTCACAAAACATTCTCAGACTTCAGTTAAGAATTTACTCAACTTTCAATTACTGTTTACAAGAAATATCTTTCAATCTTTGCACATATTTTCTTATTGGTGTATTTGATACATTAAAACAACAAAAGTTTTATAAAGAGCTATATTTTATTTAAAATAAAGCGAACAATTTTGAGCAAATTCTTAATTTAGTCTGAGAATGCTTTATGAGCTTGGGGCTAGATTAATGAAAACTAAAACTTACAACATTTGAGGCCATAACATTATGTTGTTGTTCTGTTTTTACGGTTTGTTGATGAAGAGCAGACTTTAATGTAGCTATTTCCATCTGACAAGCTGCTATATAACACTCTTTCTCTTCTAGTTTCTTCTGCATCACTGTAATCTCACGTGCTAAGTTGGAAGCCTTTCCCTCAGACAGTGTAAGATGACTCTGTAAAATCATTTAGTGGTGTACAAAACCATTACTTACATATGGACCATTTGAATTTTTCACTGGCAAACAACTTTGTCGGTACGAAAAACGTCAAATTCGAAATTTTGAAATATTCAAATACCAAAAATTCGACCATGAGCAAGGCTATCTAGAAATGTATTTACTTTGTAAATACATGAACGACTTCAAAATAATCGAAAAAGGCCGCCATTTCGTGAATTCGTCTCCTATTTCCGAAATTAATACATTTTTGGTTAGCCTCCTTCCAAGAATTGGTGGTGGCTTTGGAATCAATATATTTTCAAAACGTTTTACGTATCCAAAATCACCGAAATTTACTGATACCTGTAACACTTTGTCACTTTTTGATCTATTTTACTATTCTTTTTTCTTTGAGTACCTTAAAACATTTACTTTAAATCTATTATTTCCAATTTTAGAAATTCGAATATTACGCCATTGACATCTCATCCCGCAAGTAAAAACCAACATGACAACTTCTTGAATATTAGTACGATTTTCATGAAATTAGGAATGTAAGTAGATCTTAAGCATAGATAATCAGTTTGATAAATGTGCAATTTATCAATATGTGTCATCTGTTTATTTGGGGATTTTGGCGGGGGACATCTGCCTCACTGTTGGCTTGTTCAAATAACACATACTTAATCTGTACCATGGTATAATTTTCAACCTGTATGTGACATTATTTCAAAATATTCAATCTTCAAGCTCTGCCAATAAAAAATGTTCCATTGAAACAGAATCAACAAAGATAAAGATATAGATAAGCTAACTCTACCTACCTTAACCATATCAGTTTCTTCTTTCAACAGTTTATTTTGACCTTCTAATTCATCTTTCTCATTTTGTAATACTTTCATTCTATCTTTAACTGCAACGATTTCTGTGGTCAATAAATCAATCTTCTTATCAACTGTTGCCTTTTCCTTTAATAAAAAAATTCATAATAAATATAACAGAAAGAGTAACACATTTGATAAAATCCTACATGTTTCTATGATGACTTCAATGCTAATGGGCTTAGTTCGACATTTCTATAAGATAGCGCCAACTGACACTTCCTTGAAGGCAAAACTGACAAATTTCTGAAGTAGTCGACAAGTTACTAATGATTGGTAAATTCATCTATTTTTGTACATCACATCACAAAACATTAAACAAATATCATTATAAACAATTAAGACAACTAAGCAATAACAAATCTGATTAGTGTGCATTAAATCCCCATACAAAATTTTCTGTACTTGTAGCCAGTGGTTACTATATGCACTTTATGGCAAGTTCACACCAATCTCATTAAAATTAAATCAGCCATCTTCACTCAAAAGTCGCAAATATAGACCTCCCGTAAAAACGACTTTGCCAATCATCGAAAACACTCTTAATCTCCTCAGGCGCCAATGACGTAACAGTGACCGAATGCACATTCAGAATGTTTATTATACCTTAATTACCTATATACAGCCTGAGTGTGTATTCATTAACGGCTGACTGATTTCTTAATCCCCTAATTAAATAAAACAATTGACTATGGAATAATTTATTTTGTAATTTATTTTAATTTAAGATGCAATTTAGAATTTATTTTATAATATCATAACAAAGACAGATGCTGTAGCCATATTCCCTGTGTCCTTTAGATCAGAATAAATTGAAGTATGCCAACAGTAAACCTGTACAATAATTCGCTTTCTATGAAGACAACAAGATGGGTGTAAAATTGTTATCGACGGTGCTTCGAACATCTATGAAGTCAAGAGATGATTAATTGTCGGCTTTTATGAAACGAGATGGTTTTGTGGTGGTACTTCCGGATGTGATTGACAAAATAACTGTGTCGAATCGTCTTCGTCACAGGTCACAGCACACCAATAGAGATAATAGAGATAGTTCGTTATACTTCGAATCCAGAGATTGATGCTCCCACGGTGTTTTTCTTTTCCAAGTGCCATCAATTTCGTTTTCAAACCTGGAGGAAACTGTAATAATGGCAGCATATTCACCAGGTTTTCGTGGATTCAGTTACCGATTTGATTAGCCAACTGTATATCATATTCCTGGAGTCATCGTAAGGAGTGATGCTGGATTTGACTTCATTACTCTTAAATAGATCGTAAAAAAAAATGAAATAGGAAAAACATATCACTACGTTAGAATTAACAGTAGGCCTACAACTAATTTGGGTATTAATGCAAGTGTCTGTGCAAGTGTACACGTGGCAGTAATCTCTGATTAATCAAAACCATAGGATCGTAATTTTATTAACACCTCGATGTTAGGAGTGCTGGCGAGATTAAGAACGTTGATTAGGTAATTATCTTTTGTATGTCAGCAAGATCAAAGACATAGGTTCACATAAACCTTGTAATATCCTTTTTTTTGCACTTGCATTGTGATAAATACGAATTAGACTTACCTGGACTAATTGTAGATCAAATACAAACTTAGCGTTGTGTTCAGGTGTATCTGTCCTACCATTTCCTCACACCGTTATACCTTTCTCATTTAATCTGACACCGGTAATGTAATCGGCTTGGAACTCTTTCCATTCTGAATTAATAGCTGGGTGTAATATAGATCGTTGGTGATTCATATTGGTTACTTTGGACGGAAGAGAATCGATGGCACATTATGTACCTTTACTTTGCTGGAATTTTCACAACTCTCAACAACACAAAGATGATGTGTCATTTTAAAATTCACTCTAACATATCCCAGTCACAAGTATATAATCTATTACAATTCAAGATATGAAAGGTCAGCTCTTAAAAATGCTTTGAATTGTAGCTTACACGTAGATTATCATAATCGTGTAATGCTTAAAGATACATTATGTAAGATTTAGATAAAGAGCTAGCCATTCTTGCTATAATACTTCTAAAATAGATAATGTAAAATGAATAATTTGAAAATTTCATTCAAATTACTATATTACGAGCGAAGGTATTAGCCTTTGAAGGTTTGACAAGACGTGTGCAATAATTTCAACCACCGTACTGGTTGTTCGAAGCTAAGTCTCGCTCCTCCATTTTTCGCTTAAATCAAAATATGGCTGAACTGTTCTAATCTATTTAATATCAGAGGAATTTGATGCCTTCGAGAGTTGATTATGGCTGGATAAGTTAATTAATGTCTAATTAATTAGAAAACATTTCAGGCATAAAGAAAGACCTGCCATAGGCAGATTTAGCTCTTGCATAATGTATGTTTAAGTCAGTAAGCATGTTAAATGAACCGTCAATACACACTAGTCAACTGGTGGTATTTATGGATAGTGATAAGACCTTAATAGTGTATATTAATCAACCGGATTAAGGTTGTAATTGAAAAACTGAAAAGTGTTTTGGAGTGTCTGATACTAAAACGGTAATATGTTGAATAATTTTAATCAGATTGGTGTGAATTTGCCGTAAAGTGTATATAGTGACCAGTGGCTATAAGTACAGAAAATCTGGACTGGTGATCTTATGTGCTCTTTTATAGATTGCCAGCGATAATACACTGCACTGTCACCAAAAGTAATCAAAAGTTTGGTCACTTTCTTATAATCATACAGGATTATAACATTGAAGCTGTTTTTCTGTAACTATTTCATTCGTGGTGCAGCAACAAGCTGGTATGCTATAAAATGACTAAGTCTGATTATTCATCTGATAGCTAATTTTTTTATAGAAGATAACTGACAAGATCTAACCTGAGTTAATTCCATTATGTTACTGTCCAATTGTTGATTTAGTTGAATCAATTCATGTGTATTGTGGTTGTTAACTTCTAGTTCTTCACATTTTTCACTTAACTGTGTCGTTAATTTTTTGTTAAGGGATTTCTGATAATTGAGTTGCTTTTCAAGTGCTTTCAAACTATTCTTTAAATCCTTAAGTTCTTCGTTGATCTCTTGTTTTTCCTTCAAAAAAAAAAGAAAGAGATAATCAGTGATGGCTTCTAATTATACAAATCACAATAAGACCAGCAATCAGAGGGAAGTTATATAAAATTGGAAAACTATTAACATCGTGATATTCATCTTGTCCACTGGAATTACACTGAAGGCTATACAATGTCATGTATGTACGGTAATTATAGTACTTTGAAAAATGTCTGTTTTCATGTTTAGTGATATAACATATATAATGTGAGTGATGGGAATTTTTTCAAACTTTTGGACCAAAATCAAAGCAGTAGGTATAGATCATTTACATAAAGAGATTGATAATGGCATTTGAAAGTAAGCCCCACCTTCCACTGTTAAACATTTGTGAGTCTAGACGCTTCGTATCGGGTCAAAAGAATGTCAAGTGAGAAAATCATAAGCTGTCAACCTTTAACGGCAATAGAACTGATAATCTAACATAAAAACTGATTTTTTTAAAATGGACAAGACCAGCTACATGTATGAGCATTAATAAATATCTGGATGGACAATGTAAATTTTTACCAAATACCAAACAAAAAGTCATCGCTAAACCATGTCTGTACCTGTATCAGGGCAGCCTTTTGAAGTGAAGCTTCCTTTAGGTTCTCTTCTAGGTAAGATTTCTTTTCTTTCACAATCATCATATCATTTTCAATATCATGGATTTCTACGAAGTCATTAGCACTTGGTCTTTTAAACTGGAACGGAGTGCTGGCCCCTCGAATTTGTCCACTACTTGCTACATAGCAAAACTGATAAAATTCTCCATCATCATCAGGCAAGTTATGAGCTGAAACAAAATACTTATGATAAAAGAATTCATCATCTGACTGAACACACTATTTTGATATTAAGATAAAAATTAGTGGCTATTTAGTATTTGAATCTTCGTGAAATGTTCAAAATTATTAATAAATTTCAAATAACGATTACTGAAGTCAATCTTCCTAGTACTGTACCTTGAAACAATATTTCAGCCTGTGCTTCTGTTTGAGGTTTGTAATCTTTAGGACTGGGTGCCCACTCATAATAATAATAGTCATTAGCAGACATCCATCCAACTTTATACAAACCAATCCAATCTCGTGTAGATGGTATGATGTCATTAGTTAATGTGTATTTACACTCCACATGAGCGTCTGCTGGATACATCTCTGCAACATTTAGAAAGATGACTGCTGCATAGGCAGACCTCTGCATTTTACTGTTGCTTGCCCCCACGGCTGCATCACTAGTATCAACTGCTTCTGAATTATTGTTCTCCATATTGAAAAGGTATTGAAACAAACTGAAAAAAAAAAAATCATAAAGCATTATATGTCAGATGATGCAAACCACACCACACCCTGTCTTGAAATCCATCTCGAATCTGCCTGTAATTATTGTCATGCCCGAGTATGTATCAATAAAATCTATATAATTACATGTAGACGAAATCTTAAAAATTTTAACAATGTGACACTGCATTTAATGAAATAAAATCCATCATGGTACATTAAATACAAATTTATGTACTGGTAGTGGTACATCAATTATGTGAAATGAAATGAAGTTTAACGTCCTACTAGGCCTGTTCTGCTCCGACTGGATAATGAAGATGGGCATATGCCAGATAGTGTGGTATGAGGGAAATTTCCAAATGTCCATGGATCTTTTATGTGCACTCCAATGTGTACACAGGACCTTGGTTTTTCATACCATCGGCATCCAAACGATTAGACAGCTGTCCTTCTCCGTCTTTGTCAGGTCCTCCATTCTGCACCACTGACAAGGGCAAACCATGCTGGAGAATGCTGGAGAATTCTGGTGAAATTTCTCGGCCAACACCAGGAGGGAACCCACGACCTCCAGGCTAGCGGGTGAATATGTGAAAATGAACAGTTCATTAAATACTGGTGTAGATATATACTGTTCTAAAATGCATTTACATTTTTTGAATAACGGTATATTGCTAAGCTTAATGGTATAAATGTACATATATGCCTACATAACATATACCTTCTGTTATCATACCAAAATTATTTCACTAATTCAAATTTTATAGGTCCTACTTCACTACTTGTGTTTTTTTTTAATGAGCTTCACATGTCTCTAAAAATGCCTGGACCTACTGTGTGTTTACTTACAATAATTAATGTACAATTGGTCAATCTGTAATTTTGTTCCTCTTATCACTTCTCCAACAAGGTATAAATCATATGTTAATAAGTCATAGTATGTGATGTAATTATCTACTTTGACTCGCATCTATTTATAGACTGTACACTCAACACTGTATCTTCTGGCAGTTCGCGATTAAATATTATCTTCTTTTTTTTAAATGTCATTTAAAAATGTGACATTATTTTAACAATCATAGAATAAAATGCACTGAGTTTAGAAATGTAGACTAATAAGGTAGACACTGGCAGATGTGTTTCCGAAAACAATTTCCATTTTGGATTGTCAATTGACAACTCAAATATTCAGTTGCCATTTTGTGTTTTATTTGCTTGTCCATAACGTCAGGCGTATTTTCGCTAGTCACATGTTAGTTCTATATTTTAATATCACAGATTAATTACCTTAGATATCTTGTACAATAAGGAGTATCTTGTTTTAGTTGCCCCTGCTTCCTCTATTCTAAATTTCGAAAGTAAAAAGACGTAGTTGAGACTCCATTTTGTTTATTTCCTGGTTTATTTATATTACTACGTCATAGGTTTCTAATGTTCTAAATATAGAATTTGGGCCAATTTAATAAAACGAAATAAACTGAAACGAAATAGAAAACGTGATTTTTTTTTTGATTTTTTTTTTGTTGTTGTGGAAAACCGTTTCATGATCAATAAAACGCATACACGGGAGCCCAATAAGGCACCATTCGATTTGACATGTCATCAGACGCCTGCATTTATCGTGCGTGTGCTTTTAATTTAATTTGAGTTGTCTACCTTTAATGCTTATTGACAGAATGTGCGTTGTTGAACCCTTTCGGACTACAACTCTTTGGTCAACTTGTAACAGAAAGGAATGGCAATCATCTACGACCCGCCATTCATTCAGGCCCGTAACTAGGAGGGTGGGGGAGCGGGGGGGGGGGGGCACAGCCCTCCCTGCTAACCCTAACCCCCTGTGAAACAATTTTCGACCATAAATAAAATAGATATACATTGTCCGTCAATATTACAGCACCCCCAATTCCCGCCCCCCTCGTTGCTCTGAGCTAGTTACTTCCCTGCATTCATTATACGCCAACAATTCATGTTGCTTTCCCCCTTTATTCCCATTTGTTCGTGGGGGAGAACCCTAGACTGGCCCTGCAGATGCTACGAAAATTGTACCACTTCGATAACACAATAATAGACCCTTTCATAAGCAATTATATCTGCTAAAAACTAACGTTACTCCATCATTTTGTATTCGCATTCTGCCCATTTTGTCAGAGGGGGATATCAGCCATACAGTTTTGCGAATAGGCTACCCCTTTCTTTAGGACACCACTAGTTGTGGGCTATCCCCCACACCCCATGATTCAGTCGTTTGGACGTGAAAGACAAAACTCCTTATCCGGACACGTAACCCTTTTAAGATTTCGGGTCAATGTTTTCGTTGGGTGATCTGATAATCGATTCCCGTTCCTTGAGAAGTCTATACAGTGAATGACCCATGTGCTGTACTTGATAACGAAAGGTAAATTTCGCCTACACGTTATTTTTATACAATAAAAGTCTGGTTTTATCCAGACACCGCGTAATACACCTACACCGGTCTCCATTTCCAGATGAAGACAGACGGGTTTAAGTTTGTTTGAAAACGTATCACAAATATTGAGTTAGTTGCTCGGCCCTTAGGTAGAGGATTTGAAGGGATTTTAAAACAAAATTAAGCAGTTTTATTCTCAAAATAATTATCGGGATTGGCCCTTTAAGATGCCGGGAAAAACATCTGAGACCACATCTGTTCGTCTTCCACCTGCAGCTTCTATATTTACATCTGAGCCCCAGGTCATTCTCCAGACTTTGGGGTTCATTCTATTATAATAACAAATAAAACAGCCCGAATACCCATTAGCAGACATTTATCGTCTGCTACTATAATACGAGTTGAGCAGCAAGGACTTCGCCCTTTGCTGATTCCCCAGTCATACTGATATAAAAGGGAATGACCAAGCAGAATTGGCTGCCAAATTTGCTTTAGATCTTCCCATGTCTCAGTTTTTATTACCATATCATGATTTTATATATGGCCGCTTGCAGGCACAAATAAACTTCATCACCTTATTATAGCCTCTCCTTGGAGATTGGTCCAACTCCTATAGAACCAACAGGAGGGATAAAGTAATTGTTTTATGTCGCTCTCGCATTGGTCATACTTTTTTAACTCACATTTTTATCCGGAAAAGAGAACCTCAACCAGAATGTGAACACTGTCATGTTCCTTTGACAGTTAAGCCCATTTTGATTGAGTGCAATCATCTTAAGGGCATAAGATCGAAATATTACCGTTGCCAGTCACTACGTCATCTATTGGTGTTAGTTTAGATGTACCGGAACCGATGACCTCGTTGCTCAAATGTCTATTGTATTTAAAGCATTCAGATATTCTCGGCATGGCAAAAGTGTAAACAGAGATGAAACTGACGTGATAAAAAGATTGGGAAGCTTATTCAAACCATGCAAGATCTTCTGGCAACACATAGCGGCGCATTCAGATCGAGAATAATTTTAATTGAATAGTGATTCTGCAATAGCTAACTAACCTATTCCTTGGAATCAAAGTCGACAAAGAGAAAATAGATAAAACACCCGTTGACAAAACGTACAATGACCTGCAAAATGTCACATAGATGCTTTTTAGCAGCACTAATTATGGGAATAATGGGATGATGAACATAATGTGCTTGTCCAAAAGCAGCAACTCCAAGGCCAGCGCGCTCGTGGGCTCCCGACCCGTTTTGAAACATTGGTGGTTCTTGATTTGCATAGTATACATTGGTATACGTGCACCACCAGAGCGACTATACCAGAGAATTTCCAAATACGGGATGCACGTTCAAAACAGGAAAACAAATGAGAATTCTACTCATCGTATTCGTTTTTTATACGCCCACATTTTCATGTAGACGTATATTGTCGTCACCCCTGTCCGCCCGAACGTTCGCCCGTCAACAATTTGTTTGTGGACACTCTACAGGTCACAATTTTTATCTGATTTGGACGAAGCTTGAAAGATCTATAGATCTATCTCCCAAAGCTCTCGGTTCCTTTCGATATAGGCATCTATCGGACCATAACTTCATGGATTATGGCCCCTGATTGTACGAAAAATCACGTTTTTAGCTTGTGGACAATCTAAGTGGTCACAATTTTAATCCGATTTTGATGAAACTTGAAATGCATGTTTATAACCCAAAGATCTTGGTTCCTTTCGATATTCGCGCATATCGAATCGTAACTTCCTGAATTATGGCCCCTGATTGTACGAAAAATCGCGTTTTTAGCTTGTGGTCCCTCTAGAGGTCACAATTTGTATCCGATTTAAAAAAAAAAAAACGTTTTAGTATATCACCGTTACACCCTAATGGTGGTTGAGTTCAAATTTCCTGAAAATCGGACCGAAACTGCCGGACAAAATGGCCGCACATTGCACGCAAATAGTGTAAAAATATGGTATGTTAAGATCGTGGACCTTCTAGAGGTCACAGTTTTCATTCGATTTTGATGAAACTTGGAATGCATGTTTATATTCCAAAGTTCTTGGTTCCTTTCGAAATTCGCGCATATCGGATCGTACCTTCCTGAACTTATGGCCCCTGATTGTACGAAAAATCGCGCTTTTAGCTTGTGGTCCCTCTAGAGGTCACAATTTTTATCCGATTAAAAAAATAAAAACGTTTTAGTATATCACCGTTACACCCTAATTATGGTTGAGTTCAAATTTCGTGAAAATCGGATCAAAACTGTCGGACAAAATGGCCGCCCCTTGTACGCAAATAGTGTAGGCTTAAACATCTGGTGTATATAAGGTTGTGTGTAAGAAAGACTATTTTATCCTCGCCCGTTGCAGCTATCTGAAACTACAAGTTCCACGCTATATACGTTCATGGATAGCCAGGCCCGTAGCTAGCCCAAAATTGTTGGGAGGGTGGGGCAAAGGCTTCTGGGGGCGCCGATGTACCTACACTTGACGGTCTACGGCGAACGGTACCGTGGACACGCCTCCCTTCTCCAAGAAAATTTGGAAAAATAAGGTTTGCACCTGAAACTAACGGGAAATTTCAATTTTGAGGCTGAATTTGCGATATTATGATATTTTGATATGAACATTATAAAAATTTGAAGGAAGGAATACAACTGTAACGCACCTATAATAATTTATGAGAAAAACGAAAAGTTCGGAATCGGGTTAGAGGGCGACTTGTATGAATTTTGAAGATATACATGACTTGTTTTGGCCATTTAAATCTTCTAGAATTTGTGGAACCCCATGATCCGGCATTTTTTGCATCTCACCAAGAATGAATTTTGATGTACAAAGAGAGCAAAGTAAAAACAAACACTTAATTCTATGGTAATTCTCTTATATTTTGACTTTCTTTTCACATACATAATAATTAATGTAATGATAAAATACAATATTAGATACATTTATTATTATTATCGCATACCCTTTTAATTAAACGAAAGACGAATGTATAAGAAACATAAATATAGACTATGTATTAAATTGTATTAAATAAAGTGTGGTTTGCGGAAATATACATAACATAATGATAGATATCTTAAGCTAAAAAAGTAACAATATTATGATAGCCCCGACAGGTAGCCGTTTACGTTAAAATACAAACTGTGTGCAACAACGAATCGATGACAATGCTTTAATAATGTGACACCATAATTAGAATGGGTATGGAGTGTATAATATATTCACTTTTAATAGAAGCAATGCTTAAAAAAAAATGTGAAGGGTGTAAACAAATACGTTATCAAAGATGGATGGTGTGATCTATCAACAGAACTTATTTCATATTAATAACGAGGTCGAATATAATGAATGGTCTTCTTTTCTTAAAGAAAAGCGTCATACGGGACAGTTCCTTCTTACGACTAATCGTTAACTAGGTTCTGAAATAAGGAGCAATAAAACTGTATAAAATGTATGTTTGATACGGACATCCATAATTACGGTGTATTAGTCCGGCGCAACTCGGATCAGGTTAGTACCTTGATTGGCTATTGTACAAGAGGCCCCGCCTTTATGAGGTAAAAATGTAAAATTTAAAATGCCAGGAAAAGCAATTTATTGTCGCTTCAATTTAATACAGGGGATTTGTGCCCCTGTCAGGTAGAATTATATGCTTAATTGTAGTTGGATGTGGCAGAAATGTTATAAATAACAAAAATCAATAGTAGTTTTGAAGAAAGAATTGTCATTTTTTCTTATTTGAACCCCGATGTGATTAGCGTTGGGAGTTGCCTGTTGAATCTATATAGTATCATCTCTTATCTCGAAACACGGAGAGTTGAGAGATGGGGTTTCTTTTATAACAGAACATAAGAAGAACAAAACTAATTAACTAGCTCCATGGCGTTCCAATCTCTCATTCGAGAACTAGGCTCTGAAGTAATCAGCAATAAATCTGTATAAAATGTATGCTTGACTTCAAATTTCGATAGGGGTCTACCTTTTGACTTTTGTTGTAGTGACGAACGAACACTTGGGTGACGACAACATAATACTACTTAAAAATGGGCGTACCCTACAAATAACATGCACATTAAATTAAGAGCAGTGTATTGACGAACGAACAGTTGGGTAACAACAACATAACCCTACTTAAAAACCCCACAAATAACTTCCACATTAAATTTAATCAAATTAAAAATGTATTATTCAAGAGCTAAATCTCCCTAATGCAGATCTTTCGACATTTATTTACATGTCAGGCCCATAACTTCGGATGGTTTTGATTTTCAACAGATTTAGATACGATTGGCAGTTTATGATTTAATATAAATAGAGAAAGGATAATCGAGACTTTGTTTATTATCGTAACAACGGTATCAATGATAACTGAGAATACATTGTTCTGCAAACGATGATAACTCCGCTTAGAATGAAATAATTCAACTGAAATGTTTAACATATTCCCTTTTCATCATCTATTTTTTAACTATTTTAGCGATAACTGTCAGCTCTTTATCTAAATCTTACATAATGCATCTTTAAATACTTTCTTTTGGATTTAAACAAAATATGATAATAGGCGAGTCATCTACAGTAAATCTTCACCTTAAAGTTTATTTAACTCTGTTCGTGGCCAAATCATTTATGTTAAGTGGAGGTCGGGGGGGGGGGGGTAATAACAACTGTGTGCGTGTATGAGAGAGAGAGAGAGAGAGAGAGAGAGAGAGAGGGAGGGAGGGAGAGGTGGGGGGGGGGGGGTAACCTTAAAGTTTACTCAACTCTGTTCGTGGCCAAATCATTTATGTTAAGTGGGGGTGGGGGGTGGGGGTAATGACAAGTGTGTGTGGGTGTGTGTGCGTGAGAGAGAGAGAGAGAGAGAGAGAGAGAGGAGTAACGTCCACTCGACACAAGCTAATTTCTGCAGGTCTTCGATAACCTTGACGTTAATTTCCATTCCAAATATGAAATAAGCCTCTTTATTTCACACGACTAAAGGAGGAGACATTACCCTATTTGGTCTACCAACCATGGGTCAGTTAACAGCCAGAATTTGGTGGATATCTTGACAATGGTTATGAATTTACCAAAATATCACTGGGTTTTTTTATGTATAACTATATATTCACGTTCATTAAGTACGTGTGATTTGACTCTATAGACAGAGTAAAGCAACAATTTTTGCAAAGAACCAAAATTGTCTCAAGGGCCAGAGTGTTACACTAACCAATCGGCCATCCAAGCCCCCGGTAATAACAAGTAGGCCTACTTAATACTTAAAACATAACAAAATAAAATATACACATAATTAAATGATTGGAATATTGTAGGCGATTTTATGTTTATAACAACGCGAACCGTACAATTGTCAGAACCCTCACTGGAAGGACACGGAAATATTCGATTCTAAAAAGTTTTGAATAAAACATGACGCCATTTCCTTTGGTTCATCACGATAACTCATCATTCATCTTCATATCCGGGTTTTTCATTCCTTTTGTCATTTGTGCTGAGATGTAAATGTACACTTTCCTCCAGGCCTCGGAAACTTCTTTGGTATAATGTTCACCTAAAACTACTCCCAGTCCATAATGTAGTGATGGCCACAATCTCTGAAAATATACGAAATTAATCAGCATGAATAATCGTACATTAAGGAGCCGCAGCGGCTCGGTGATTTTTAGCATCGGTTTCGCCAACCAGACGGTTCCGGGGTCGATTCCGGTGCTAGCAGAGCAAAAGTTCCTCGTGATTTTCCGGCGTGGTTTCCGCTTGTCTGTAGTGGTGCAGGATAGGAAGTAAACCCGGGAATTCGAAATAAGAGTAGGTTATAGTGCCGGTGTCGCCACTGTACACTGCGTGGTCTATGCCCGTCTGTATTAGGTATTAGCCCGGATGGTGCTTAACTGAGGGATTAAAGATGTGACATACCATATCGGGATGCACAGCAGCGTGTGTGCCATAAATGAATGACTATAGTGAGGGCCTGGAGCCGTTCGACGGTCCAAAGAGAATAAGTATGGCCGGGCTTGTTTGTATTTTGAAAATAAATAGGCAACCTCCATATGCCAGTCGATTATTTCTACAAACACACATATAATTATATATATAATTGACAAGATGTTACACTGTAGTAAGTGACACGTGACTTTCCATTTGAAAAATGAGAAGTGACAATAACATATCTATATATGTGCACATGCTCAAAGACACAATCGTCAATATAGATCTTCTTATCATTTGCATTATAGAGGATTATAGAAAACAGAATGGATTGTAAAAGAAGTTGTTATGTAGATGAAGGATGAAGTTGATGAATCACCGTTTTCGATGACTAAAAGTTCATCATAATGGACATTAACCGGGTAATTGTAATGGTAAAGTTTGATGTAAAAACCACGTTTTATTTTCTTCCTGTTCATTTCAAGTCATGATTAATTACATAGGAAAATACATCCCGGTCAGTAATGTAGAGGGTATATGATAAGATTACTGTCTGGTCGATTCTAATGTAAGATTAAACTTGCTGTGTTTTAAACTCGCAAGGTGTATTGAATTGCATTCTAACGTGTGAATTTATGACAGTGTGTGTGTGTGTGTGGGGGGGGGGGGGCATAACTGACAATGAAACATTAAGAGGATCACAAAGGATGAATTTCAGACTTGCATATCTATCTTAAAAATGTTTATAGGGTATGTATGTATATAACTAAAATCAAAGATATGTGTTTGTAATTGCTAAAAATTTAACTAGTTGTACAATATGATACATAAAAAACTCCATTAATATTATAGAACAATACTATCCCATATTTTAAACTGCTGGCTTTACTATGTGTCATACAAATTAAGTCATAAATGGAATGCGATTTGTCATATAAACTTCCAAGAATTATTACACAGTGGGGTTCTCATACAGTAAAATAGAAATGAAAAAGCCACATCCTTATTTCATATAGCCTGTGCAGCATAATTCAGCATAATGTATTGAACTCTGGTGTTAACCAGGCACAGATTTAAGGGGCGCGGAGGGATGCCCCATGAGAAGTAGTAAGCGCCCCCGTGTAACAAAGTCCCCTCAGGCCCAGTCCAAAAAATAAATAAAAGCTAGTTATTATACGTCGCTATCTGAATTTTGTTAACGCAGCGTTCGATTCCATAATGTCATCATTCCTCTATGGTCTTATACTAACTTATCACTTGATATTTGTTTATTTGCGTTTTTCTTTGATACTTTTATTCTTGAAACAGGTTGAAGCAGATTGTTGTTCATAGGTAATCTTGTATGTTAATCGTATAGTAATCATATATATTTGCATTTTGCATGAATAATTAAGATCACACATCACCCCAGTCCTGAACAAATTACATCGGCCCGGTTTCGAGAAAGGGTCAACTTTAAAATCTTATTGTTAACCCATCGATCGATAAACAAATCCGCGCCAGGTTACCTTCAAAATCTAGTATCACTGCGTATTAACCTATAAACGATCATTAAGATCAGAAGGAAAACTATTATTGGATGTACCTGCCTATAATTTGAAATCATTTGGATCCAGAACTTTTCGATACAACGCACCAATTGTTTGGAATACACTTCCAGAAAATACCCGACAATACATAATACGTAAGAGCTAAATCTGTCCATCGCACGTCTTTCTTTGCGCCTTAAATGTTATATAAATTATTTATTAGACATTTATTAACATGACAAGACCATAACCAACTCCCGATGCCATCGGATGGTTCCGATTTTAAGTAGATTAGAACGGTTCGGCCATTTAATGATTTAATTTAAAAATGGTGAAGCGAGGCTAAGACTCGAATGACCAGTACGGCGGTTACGACCAATACATATTGTCAAAACTGCAACCAATTATAACTTCGCTTAAAACAAAGTAATTCGAATAAAAATTTCAATATATTCAATTTGTATTATCTATTTTTGAGATATTATAGTGAGAATGACTAGCTCTTTATCCAAATCTTGTATAATGCCCCTTTAAAGGGGTCACAATATTTAGTAGTACTAGTTAATACCGAGAACCTTATTCGTTCTTTGTAAAACTCATGAAATTATCATGTTTCTAGGAAAGAAATAGAGAATCTCCTACGAGTCGTTTTTTGATATAAAAAACACGAGTATAAGGAGATTTTATTTATCACCCAATCCTTTCTTACATGCACAAATAAATAAATATAATTCTTTGCTATAGATTTCACTTTTACTGAAACTTGCCTTAAAATATATCTACCGTACTTTAATACAATCTTGTCAACTTTTGAGCTTCTTTTTAATCCGCCAGATTTTCTTGCTAGATAGCAATGAATACATATCATGCTTTTAAGGAAAGGGGGGCACCTGCCTAGTCTATTTTTCTTCTGGGTGTTCTTACTCCACATTTGATCATTATACAATCATGTACGTACAAGGTTATACTTCATATTTTCATTGCTATATTTTCATTGTTTCATCCAAATGGTACATGTATATATCTCATTATATTTTCATTTCATTATATCATGTTATTCCAATATATTATTCCATGTAAAATATATTTTTGTATACATGTATATTGATGTATGTGTACGTTTTGTATACTGTTCTTAATGGACGTAATATGCAAATAAAAAGTTGAAGTTGCAGTTGAACCTGATTACATTATGGCGTAGTGATACATCATTTTTGACAGCAATTCAACCTATGCATAGTCCTTTATATTGAGCCAGTGTTTCCATCAAAGTCAATTAAATAAAAATAGTTCCTTTTTAATAAATAAAAATAATTCCTTTTTAATAAATAAAAATAGTTCCTTTTTAATAAATAAAAATAGTTCCTTTTCAATAAAAAAGAAGTTACTTTTATTTTTAAAAAAAAAGGAATTGTTCTTTGAAAAACAAAAATGTAGTTCCTTTTTAATTGACCAATCAAATTCATGTACCAAGTAGATTATGAAATTTATCACACAAGTGATATCTACTGTAGTATGTGTTTTGGGGTGATAAATCCTGATAATGTACGCTGACAAATAAATTATTCGACGACCGATTTTATACTTACCAAAGTTTATTTATTTCAGGTTCAACACAAAGATGAATATTAACCGTCGATTTATAATCTTAGGGGAGAAAAACAATTGATGTACGAGGTATATTGTGTTTTAAAGAGTTGAATGTAGACAATTACGTTTGCCTGATCAACACTATTAGTAGTTCAGACTGTGACCTCTACCGACATGTTTCTTTATATATTTCAACAGGCAATCGAAACATCCAGGCCAACTTCAATCATGAATCTTTTTAATGTCTTTACCTTCAGTTCAGTTGACCAATTTCGTTGGCAACTTTTAGAAAGCCGCTAATTTTAGTAAAACCATGCTGAGCCCTATCTAGTTGGCCAAAGAGATTCGGTACATTAACAAAAAACAAGGTGTTCACATTTATTTGTAATGTCCTTTCTTTCCAAAGGATGTTCTAAAAATATCACATGTAATAAGGTTTTGCCAGAAGTGTTCTAATACAAAAGAGCAAACTTTCTCCTCACACCCCAACCCCTTCTTACTATATTCATGATTGGTGACAATTTTGTTATCATCATTATATTTTATTTACATTACAATAAGTAGCCGTTTCTGTACAAATTTTAGAGCTTCATTTAGTTTAAACAATATTTTATTCAATAAGCTGAATTGGATTGAACAATAGGCAACAGAGCTTCATTTAAGATTGTTTTGAAGCTTGCTGACTGCCTTGATACTACAAAAATCATATATTACATCTAGTACCTTGATTAAAAGAACAAATTCATTCTAGGGGTCGATTTCTACGAAAATATTTTACGCCAAACAATTATTGATCAATTATTGGCTATGCAATACAATTATTGGATATGCAATAATATTGCCAGTATTCAACTATTTCTTTTTGGTTTAAATATGCTCAAAAATAACGTTTGATAAAACTAAAATTCCGAATGACAACTGATTGGTGTTAACAGATAATGGATCTTCCATGTCGTTTGCATATTGACAGTTTATATGAATATCGCGTCTTTAAATTCCAATATCATGAAAACCACGAACAAATGTTACATTGAAATATAATATTTCTTCCAACAGAACATCGTTAAAACAAAACAGAAAAACAGATTAATTTCCTAGATATTCTCAAATGCCCTATCAATATCATTTAACAGAATAAACTCTTCCCATTGCATCTTAATTTACACTATAGAACGTTATAACATTTCTAGTTTTAATATGAGAGAGAGAGAGAGAGAGAGAGAGAGTATGTTTTATACTTTCAGCAACAACTTGAATTTAGCACTCGTTTGTGAACTTTGAATTTCATAATCACTGAGTCGACCTCAAATCTCAAAAACTTCACACCATGCATTCAGTGTAATAACTACACGTGTGGGCGTATGCAACTCTCGAACTCAATTTTAGTACTTTGTGTTGTTGAAAGACTTGCCTTAAGAAGTCTTGAGCCTGTTGCTTCGAATAATAATTTGTGTGAGTTGGCAACGTAGGCTTATGATCCTAGTATTTTGATGTTCGGTTAATTTTGAAACATTCTAATCCCATACAAATCATGATCCTTAGAAATTGGA